TCAAGGTGGATAAAAGACTTAAATATGAACTGTGATACCATTAAGTCCTAGAGGAGAACATAGGTAGGAAAATCTCAGATATTTCACACAGAAACTTTTTTACTGATATGTCCCCTAGAGCAAGGGACATAAAGGAAAGTATAAACAAATGGGACCTCATCAAAATAAAAAGCTTCTGCATGGCTAAAGAAAACAGTATCAAAATAAAAAGAGAACCAACTGTATGGGAAAACATATTTGCCAATGAAACCTCAGACAAGGGTTTAATCTCCAAAATATATAGAGAACTTACACAACTCCACTCTAAGAAGACAAGCAACCCGATTAAAAAATGGGCAAAGGATTTGAACAGACACTTGTCCAAGGAGGACATACAGAAAATCCAAAGACACATGAAACGATGTTCAATATCGCTAGCTATCAGAGAGATGCAAATTAAAACCACAATGAGATACCACTTCACACCAGTCAGAATGGCCATCATAAACAAAGCAAGAAACAACAAGTTTTGGAGAGGTTGTAGAGGAAAGGCCACCCTAGTGCACTGTTCGTGGAACTGCAGACTGGTGCAACCACTATGGAAAGCAGTATGGAACTTCCTCAGAAAACTAAAAATGGATCTGCCTTTTGACCCTGCAATTCCACTGCTGGGACTATATCCTAAGAACACTAAAACTCCAATCCAAAAGAACCTATGCACCCCGATGTTCATAGCAGCACAATTTACAATAGCTAGGTGCTGGAAGCAGCCTAGATGCCCAGGGTAAATGAATGGATCAAAAAACTATGGTACATTTACACAATGGAATTCTATGCAGCAGAAAGAAAGAAGGATCTCCTACCCTTTGCAACAGCTTGGATGGAGCTGGAAAGCACTATGCTAAGCAAAATAAGCCAGGCAGTGAAAGATAAATACCATACGATCTCACCTTTAACAAGAACCTAAACAACAAAACAAAGAAACAAGCAAAATGTAACCAAAGACACTGAAATAGAGGACAGGCTGACAGTGACCAGAGGGGAGAGAAGAGGAAATTTCAAGGGAGAATGGGAAGGGTTTACAGGAACAAATTTAAAGGACACATGGACAAAAACTAGGGGGAGGGTGGTAATGGGAGGGAAGTGGGGAGGGTTGGGTGGGTGGTCTGGACTGGGAGTAAAAGGGATAAAACTGTACTTGAACAATGATTAAAATTTTAAAAAAGGAAAAAAAGAAGTTAGTGAGAAATTCAATAGCATAAAAAGAAAAAACAGAGAAACCATAAAAAATAACCAGTCAAACATGAAGTATACACTAACTGAAATGAAGATGATGTTACAGGGAATCAATAGTAGAGTTAATGAAGCCAAGAATCAAATCAGCAATTTGGAATACAAAGAAGGAAAAATTTCTAATCAAAACATCAAAAAGAAAAAATGGACCCAAATAAATGAATATAGCATAAAAGCTTCTGGAACAACTTCAAATATACCAGTATTTGTATTGTAAGGGTGCAGGAAGGAAGAGAGAAAAAAATGAAAACCTACTTGAAAAGATAATAACAGAAAATTTCCCTAACATGGTGAAATAAATAGACATACAAGTCCAGGAAGTATAGAGACTTCCAAACAAGATGAACCCAAAGAGGCCCATGCCAAGGCATGTCAGAAGGTAAAGGTTAAAGGTTAAAGACAAAGAAAGAATCTTATAGCAGCAAGACAAAAGTAGTTACCTACAAGGAAACTCCCATAAGACTGTCAGTTGATTTTTCAACAGAAACTTTGCAGACCAGAGGGATTGGCAAGAAGTATTCAGAGTGACAGACAGCACCCTGGCTGGTGTTGCTCAGTGGATTGAGTGACAGACTGCATAGCAAGGGGTTGCCAGTTCACTTCCCGGTCAGGGCACATGCCTGGGTTGCAGGCCAGGTCCCCAGTTGAGGCTGCATGAGAGGCAACCACACACTGATGTTTCCCTCTCTGTTTTCCTCCCTTCCCCTCTCTCTAAAAATAAATAAATAAATATTTTTTAAAAAATTGATGGAAAGCAAGGACCTACAATCAAAATTATTCTACCCAGCAAAGTTATCAGTTACAATCAAAGGACATGTAAAGAGCTTCCCAGACAAGAAATAGATAAAGGAGTTCATTACCACCACCAAACCTGTATTACAACAAATGTAATTATTTGTTATTAAATTATAGTTGCGCTCCCAGAGTAAATTCTAACTATCTAAAAACATTAATACTATAAGATATGTGCCTGGATTTGATTTGCTAACACCTTATTTAGAACAGTTATATCACTGTTTCTGAAAAATCAGACTAAACTTTTTTAACTTTGCCTCCACTTCTCTAGTTCTATAGCAGTGTTGTACCAGCACCATGAGGAATTTAAGAAAGTTACTTCTCTTTTTATTATCTGGAAGTATGTATATAAATTTGAGCTTATCACTTTCTTAGAAGTTTTGTAAGACATTACACCATTCATGTCTGTTAACTTTTTTTTTCAGGTAGATGTGACAAAGAAAAAGTAATCTATTTAGTGTTTATGGATTAATTTGGCTTTTTATTTCTCCATGGATTAATTTTGCTAATTGCTTATCTAGAATTCCACCTATATGTTGTATAATAGTCTCATGTTTTTTCCATACTTGTGTTTGTGTATAGTGTACTTTTTTGTCATCCATACCATCCAAGTGCTAATTCTAATTTTCATACTCCATCTTGCTAAATATCTGCTATTAGTCCTTTCAAAAGCCAGGTTTTGCTTTTAGTGATCCACTCAATATTTTTATCTCATTACCATTTCATTGATTTTTCATTTATTAATATTTATTATTTTCATTTCTTATTTTATTATGAATTTAGTATTTTTCTGACTGGTCAAAATTAATGCTAGGTTCATTTTTTTCTTGTTTTATGTGTATATATATAGATATGTGCATATACAGTTAACATATGTATGTGAAACATAAATATATGCATGTGTCCCTGTGTGTATTTTTTCCAACTATGTGGTGATGTTTGAAAATCTTTATTTTGGCTTTCTACTATCATCATGCAGCAGTAGAATGAAGTCTCTAAAATATATATTTTTTAATCTTTGTTATGTGTCTTGTGTTTCCACATGGAAAAGCTAAGTGACCCACTAATATAAAAATCATGAATCTTTGTACTACTGGTAACCCTTATAATTTGAAATTCAGTTAAACCTCTGATTCAGAACCTTATAATTTCAGTTTTTTATTCCTTTTCAGAAGTGCAGTACCATGGTTCATAAGTCAGGTCCTAGAGCAACTCAAATTGCATTCAAACCCTAGTGTGTTCACCTATAAACTGTGTGACTTTGGGCAAGTCACTTTGCTCTGTATTCTTTTGTTTTGTTGTGGGTAAATGGAGATATTGATAGTAATTACTTTATAGGGTTGCTGTGAATGTTAAATTAGTTGTTTGTATATAAAACCCTTAAAGTACTCAACATCCTTAAAATAACCTTGATATACATTTAATATCCATAAATATTGATGATTATGGCTATAATTTGACACCTAGAGCATTCTCTTATTTTAACTCATTTGAGCTATATACTAAAATAATTATCCAGCATTCTGTGTGTATGTAACAGAAGCGGCACATCTCCTTACTGAGAAGCTCTGATAGCCATGTTGCCAAAATTCCTCTACCAGCATCCACCTTCCCATAAATTTTAACATTCTCTCTTCCATTGCTGACACTCCCCATTCTCTTTCTGTCCTTTATCTGATGATCTTTCTATTTCCATATAAATACAATAAGGTTATACCATCTTGAACCAAAAGCCAAATTATTTTAGACAATTGCTCAAGGCTTGTGAAAGAGTAAACTTTTCCTGAAGTTTGGGAATAGGCACATATCTGGAAAGAACATAATCAACAAGATAGTGTATTTATTTTGTAGAAAGAAGGAAAGAAGAAAGAAAGGGAAAGAAAGAAAGAAAGGGAAAGAAAGAAAGAAAGAAAGAAAGAAAGAAAGAAAGAAAGAAAGAAAGAAAGAAAGAAAGAAAGAAAGAAAGAAAGAAAGAAAGAAAGAAAGAAAGGTACATGGGAATAATTTGCTAAAATTGAGTTTACTGAGGAAAATATTAGCTGAACCTATGATGTTGGTTAAGGAATGAGCTAGAAAACTGCTCTGTACCACTGTAGACCTTAGGGTTGATGAGTACACTGATGAGGAGCTAAGCATTTTGCAGTTCTGGTCTTCCATGTGGGCACCATCTCCTTTCACCCTGTTGCTGAGGGCAAGTCCTGGCCAGTCTTTTCACTCAGTGAAATGCAGATATTATATGAGTCATAAGCTAGAAAATCCAGTTAGCTTCCTCCACGTCATTTCCAGTCACCCACCATTTCAATTGAAATTTGGTGAGGGGAATTGGAGAGATTGAGGAAAACAAGAAAAGAAAAAGAACAAACTCATGGCCATAGACAATACTGTGGGTGCAATGTGGGGAAAGAGGGTAGCTGAGGTGGAAGAGTATATGAGGGAATAATTGGGGTTGGATGGAGACTTGACTTTGGGTGGTGAACACACAATCCAATGTACAGATGATGTGTTGTGGAACTGTGCACCTGAAACCTCTATAATTTTGTTAACCACAGTCATCCTCATAAATTCAATAAAGAAGGAAATAAAGAGCAAAATAAATAAACAAAACAGAAACATACTCATGTATATAAGGAACAAACTGATTGTTTCCAGCTAAAAAGGAACAATTAGAGGACTGAGTAAAACTTATGAAGAGATTAAGAAGTATAAAGTGGTAGTAACGAAACAGTTATGGGATGTAACGTACAGCATAGGGAATATAGTCAGTAATACTGATAGAGCGTGTATGACGTCACATAGGAGCAAGGCTTACCGGGGGAATCAATTCACAAGTTATATAAATATCTAACCATTAGACTGTACACTAAAACTATATAATATATTGAATAACCAGTATAATTGAAAAATAATTTTAAAAAAGAAAAAGGACCCAAAGATACAGTTTATTTGTTTTCATTTTTATTTAAATATAGAGGTTAAATATGTGTGCGGTATTGGTAAAGGTGCTTCTGGAAATTGATAAAGAAGGGCTGGGTGACTTTAATTTCCTGAAGAAGAAAAAAAGAACAGAAGATCAGAATAGTAATTACAAGAAGCCTCAATCCATCCCTTATGATTCTTTTTCTTTTTTCATCCTCTTCCATGTGCTTTCCCCATTTCCCTTGGCTTCAAAAGGTGACAGTTGTTGTGTATTCATAGAAAGTACTCAGGCTGGATTTTGGAAAATCTAATTAGATGATCTCATTTCTCTGGTCAAAATGGTTTACAATTTCATTCAGGATAAAAATTTTAGAACATTTACCATGTGATCACCAAGGCCCACGTGATCAGGATTTTCACCATGTTTCTCAATTTGTCTCTGTCATGTTCCCCACTCTCATTCTCCTCCAGCCCATTACATTTTGGCATGGAGGAAAAATGGGACAACTGTAATAGCATAAACAATAAAATCTTTTTAAAAAATAAAAGAAAAAAAAACATGTGACTACATTTCTGCCTCAGGATTTTGTACTTGATAGTCCCTGCATTGGAACACATTTTCTGTATAGAATCACAGGATTCACTACCCAACTCAATCTATGCTCTGTTCTCATTTCATTATTTTCTTACTTCAAAGAAGACTGTCCTGTGTAATCTATTATAGTACAAACAACACCCATCTCTTTCATTTCTTTAACCTCCTTTATTTTTCTTCTTAGCTCTGATCACTCTCTTACATATATCAGTTTGTGTGTTTAGAGTCTGTCTCCACTCACTACAGTGTGGGCTTCCTGAAAGCAAAGACTCCATTGATTTGGTTCACTGGTATATCCTAAAATTCTAGAACATAATTTGGAACATAGTAAGTGCTTCATAAGTTTTAGTCAAACAAATAGCTTAACCCCAAAATATGGCTCTATTGTACTAATTAGGCAATACAATCTATTCTGATAAGGTAATTATGCCTTTATGTGACAAGTGAGTCAGAAACAAGGGGTAAAGAAAAGGAGAGATTTAAAGGATTGAGATAAACTTACTATAAAAATAATTTTAATTATGTTGCTGAGAGGGAGATTCAAAATATACTTATTACACAATGGTATATAAAGCTGTTGTGAGTAAATTAATTGTTGGGTTTAAACCTGAGGGGCCATTCTAAAATATTTTGACTTAAAAAAAGATATAAATGTTAACATGGGTGTTTACAGGGGTTTCTGAGCAGTACTAAGAATCTGAGAGCAACTCTGAGTGTTCTATGATATATACAGTAAGAGAAGTCAGAGAACCAGTGTCTGCATCAGCACAAGCAATATAGCCCCAGATATGTCTGTCGGTAATGGAAGCTCAAAGTCAGTGATGTGATAACTGTGCTAAAAGTTGCCTCCTTTGTTTTTAGTAGTTTTCAAGATCTGAGGCATGTTTGGTAATGCAGTGTCTGTGAGTTCTTGTGTGTGTGTGTGTGTGTGTGTGTGAGGGAGAGAAAAAGAGAGATGGTGGAGAGAAGGAAGTATAAGTAATAGTGAAAGCATGATTACAGTTTTGTCTTAGAAATTCCTACCCTGTGTCCTTCATTGTTTATTGCTTTCTGCCATCATCAGGCTTATCTCCTTGATGGACTGGCAAATTGATTAATTCATTGTAGAGATGGAGGAGGATCCAGATGGGTATATGTAGAACAACAATAACAAAAAAAAAAACTAATTGCCAAACTATACAAACAAGTAACACTAATTTGACCACACAAGCAATTGGCTATCTTTTGACATTGGACATCACTACCAATATTACTCTTTCACTTAATTCACCTGCCAACAACTGTAACAGTTACTATTTTCAGTTACCAGGACTGCCAACAGCTCTGATATTTACTATTTTCAATTGCCAGGAAACAGGTAGAAATATCTTGTCATGGATAATCGTTCAATGGTGGGCATCTGGGCTTTAACATCTGGTTGTTCAAATGACCGTTGTACCTAAAAAAGAAAAAAGAGGCAATAGATGAAACATAACTCTTAGCCACTCTCAGAGAACATTTTGCACCATGAGCCAACAAATTCTGAGAATGAAAGGTGCTACTAGGGTTGATGGGAGCAAGACCACAGCCATTCTAATGTCCAGTCACTGCTGCCCTACATTTAGAAGTAAGTCCCCATGTTAGAAAAACACTCTATCACAGAACAAATGCCTAATGTCTAATCCAAGGTTTCTCTATCCACATTTCTTCTCTATTTCTTTTCCATCTCTCTTCTACGTATTTGAACTGGATCTCAAATATCCTCTACCCTCAGCCTCCAAGACTAGATCGTCAATTCAATGAGGCACAAAACCTCAACTTTTTACCTTAAAATCTGAACACAACAACTTTCACATCACCACCACCATATTGAATTCTGAAGTTTTGTTTTTGTTTTTTGCTTTTTTTTTGCCATGGACTGATCTATGAGGTTGTATTTCTAATATTCTCTTAGCAATGTCCTTGAAATGACAGTGTCTAATTCCTATTCATCCAGCAGGACTCAACTTCTCGAGTTCCCATTCACAGAGACCCTAACTGACATTACAGTGTGATCTTCTCCATTCTAATAAAGGTGCATTCCTCTTTCCCACAGGACTGTACTGTTCTCTACAGTTTTGAGTTTAGGATAGAAACAGCCACACTTCCTCACATTCTTACTGTCTGTACATTTCTTGCTAAAGAAGAAGGCAGGGGGAGTATCTGTTCATTTACTCATGCCTTGTGTTGAAAAAATATCATTTCCTGTGCCAATATGGTGAGGTCTTGAGCAATTCCTACCTTCATGAGGTTTGCATTCAAGTGAGTAATTACAGGTGAAAAACAAAGTACATGTATACCAAGTGAGTGGTGGTCAGAACTGGGGAGGAAAACAAATTAGGAGGTGGGGGGGATAAGGCATATTCTGATCTGGGAAACATATATAGTCTTCCTTTCTGGACTATTCCATCCAAAGCATCTCTTCTTTATTTTCTTTCAGTGCCCTACAATTTTTTTGTTATGGATTCTATCATAATCTATATTGACACAGTTTGTGTTGGCCTACTTATTAGTACACATCTCTCAAAATAATGTAGGCCATCAGTAGCCTTATGACACAATATCTCATCTAGCCCTGTGTCAGCAAGATCTCGACAATTACACATAGAAACTGAACACATACTTATTTAATAAATTAAGCAACAAAATTAATTGAAAATACTTTCCAATCTTTGCATTTTAAGAAAGTATACTCCACAACATATGAGCTTCTATTTTATATTATTTTGTTCTCTTTTTATTTGCTTCTATGGTGTATTAACATCTTCTTTTACTAAAATCATATTTTAAATCCCAGGTAACAGAAATAAGGGCACCCTTATACTTTCACTTCCCTGACAAAATCAGTCATTGTAACTTGAATTAAGAATAAGAATAATACTTCCTGAAAAAAACAAAAGTGACTAGAGGAGGGAAAAGAAGGTTACCTTCCGAAACACTTCCTCAAGGTGACAGCACCAAGAATATTTCTGAAAGCATGTGATTAGTTGTGAAATAAAGAAGGAACCTTTTTTTATGTCTCTCCAGGATACATTATCTATAAAGAAAAGAAATGGTAAGTCTTTGGCTGTGGCCTCGACTACTTTTTATATTACAATTTTTTTGTTTTATGGTTATATCCTTTAATCATAGTTTGGGAATTAACTTGACATGTTTAAGGTAAAGACTTATATATCTACATTAATTCATTTACAACAAAGAGGAAAAAACTGGCAGAGATTAACTAAAGGGATAGCTGATCAGAATTGCATGGTGACTGCATTATATTCTTGGAACTGACAATTACTTTGGGCCTCATGTTCATTCATTTGATTTGAAAGGTTTGAGATATAACTGGAATTACTACTTTTTCAGTTGAAAGAATAGACACTCAGAAGAGTTCATGAAATTTCCCATGCTCATGCAGTAAACAATAAAAAATGGGCACCAGGTTCCAAGGGTGATTACAGAGTAAAAATCACACTGTCTGTCAGAGTATAATAATCAAGGTAAATGAACAAATCCAAAGGAAACTTTTAAGAGGAGGGAAATTTTAGGACACGGATTGTGGTGATGGTTTCATGGATGTGTACTTATATCTAACTCGTTATGTTACATACATTAAGTATATATGTTTATTTTTGTATGTCAGTTAAACCTCCATGCAGTGGTTAAAAAAACACTCAAAACAGAAATTTTCAAATGAGAAACATTCCAGTGTAAGGCTTCTTAAGATGACTACCTAGAGGTCAAGGACTAAACCCTGATCCCCTTCTATTAGGCCTCATTAGCCCCCGAGTATCATTTTCTACCTCTTTTAAAGGACATTCACGCCCCTCTGAGGCAGGCAATGACACACTCCAACTAGCATCAAATGGGAAATACGGAGAAAGAGCTAGAGTAGAAAACGGAATTGTTCATTTATTTTAAATGGCATATGTTCAACTGGATTACTTGTATTAGGTTGTTTGAATGATTGGTATGCCTCAGCTTATAAAGCACAGCACTTAAAATACAAGTATAATTCAAAAAAGAAGATATATAGAATCTTTGTTTCTATAAAATAATGAGATAAATGTAAGTTATTTTGGCAACATTCAAAATGTGCCTTAGATCATTCCTGCATAGAGCCTATCAATATTCTAGAGTCATTCAGGGGTGGCCTCAGGCCCACAGATCCTTGTGTGCAACTGAAAGACACATACGTGGGGTTGAGGAGCAGAAAGCAATGAAGTCCTTCTCCACATGTGCTCTGTGAACCGCATCCTCCTCCAGGTCCTCATGTGGCTGTGAAGAGCTGTCTGCCAAGGCTGCTGGAGAGTCACTGACCCACAATACCCCACGATTTGCTGGAGAGACAACAACTCTGTAAACACTGTGTACCTTCCTCAGTTTGGCTGTCACAATTGCCCACCTCATTCTCTTTGAACATGTATTTTTTTCCCTGGCCAGGCACCTTGGTTGCTTAGTGTCATCCCAATGGGACAAGGTTGCGGGTTCCATCCCAGTCAGAGCACATACAAGAAGAATCAACTAATGAATGCATAAATAAGTGCAAAAGAAATTCAGTCTCTCTCTCTCTCTCAAATGAACAAATTTTAAAAAGTGAATAACAATAAAGAAATGTTAATTCTCACCACTTTTATAATTGCACAGCAGACACATACACACACTAAACTCTTCCCCCCCCACACACCCATAACTAGGCCTCTGTCTAATGTCTTTGAACAATGTGCCAGGTAGCAGTGAGAGCAGTGAGAGCATCGTGTGTGTAAAGAGTGACAGTAACATAAACCTGACAGAACCCATTTTCTAAGAAGAGCAAAGGAGTTAAAGCCTTATGTGCATAATTTCAGAGCATAGGTATTATTTTTAGCTAAATTATTTCTGTTTTTCTTTCCTAAACATGGCTCCAAAATCCAAGAGCTAACTGGAAGTCAGAAATAACGAAATAAAATTTTGAGAGCAATGCCTAGTACCCTCATTTCCCCACTCAGTTCCCTTTCAATATTGCATGAGGCAAAAAGGGTGCTGCTATTACAGAATAGCTCCACTTTCAAATGAAATTCTTCTCAAGCCAGAGAATGTCAGAATGTTTGTAAACTATTTACAAGTAAAGCTGTTATTAAAATGATTTCACTCCAAGGGTTAAATATTTTTGTTCAACTTTGATTTAGGAATTCCAAAGATCTCCTTCATCACTTTCTTTGGATTAAACTAAATAGATTATTTCTCAGCTGAAAAGGTAACTTCTTATGATTCAAACCACTTAAGTGGAGTTTCCCAAGAATTCAGTTCACTTTGTTTGCCGTGAGCGGGGACTAAGATTGTTTCCCCTAAAATGAAAACATACATCACAGTCCTCAGCAAACAATTCAGGAACTTTGGACTTTCCCTATCAGAACTCACCACCTCTGCAGGCCTGGACAATGATGACCTTTGGTTTGTCCTTTAGGCTGAGGCAGTGGCAGTTGTTGAACATCCGAAAGATGGTGTCATAAGGCAGCACATCTGGTTCTTCATCTCTGTGCAGAGTCCCACAAATTCCTGCCAGGATGCCATGAGACATGAACACCAAGAATGTGCTGTCTGAGGACTTATGCTCTGGGCGGGCAGCAAATGACTCCAGCACTGACTCCATCTCCTGAAAAAGACCACTATGTCTTACTAGAAGAGGTCAAGCATTGACATTAATCTGATCTCCTACTTATCATGAGCAGTCCAAGAAACATCTATACTGCCCTGGCTGGTGTGGCTCAGTGGTTTGAGTGCCAGCCTGTGAAGCAAAGGGTCACTGGTTCAATTCCTAGTCAGGGCACATGCCTGGGTTGCAGACCAGGTCCCTAGTTGGGGGCATGTGAGTGGCAACCACGCATTGATGTTTCGCTCCCTCTTTCTCCATCCCCTCCTCAAAAACAAACAAAGGAACAAATACATAAATAAAGTATTTTTGAAAAAGAAGAGAAACCTCTTTATGTTCCTATCACTGTGCCTTCATATAGTGGTTACTCAATGGTAGTTGCTTACCTTTTCTTTCAACAGTGTAACGGGGGTTCAACTGTTTGTTCCTGGTAATATTATTTGAGCTGTCCTCCTGATATATTTTACATTGCCTTATTTTCACTTACATACTTTTTTCTATTACTCTCATTTATCTCATTAATTAATAGGAGTCTTGGGTCACAAATTTATCATACCACTTTCCTTCAAACACCATTCTCTCTGTACTGAGAACAAAATCAAACTTCTGACTAATGTATACTTCTTCCAGTCTGTCCTGTTTCTCCTGCAAGCTCTTATCACTCTGGTCTTCTGTGTTTTTCATGTTCCTATTTTATATATAGCATCGGTATATCATATACAGTTATCCTTCCTGGAATGTATTTTATTCACAAATTTTCAGATCTGTCTTGTTACTGATAGTCTTCTGTCAGCTTTAGTATATTCTCCTACTAAGACTTATCTTTTCCATTGCATTGAAACAAGTAGTACATGATCACCAGTTTTCTCTTTTTTTCCCCCACCAACTTTCATCTGTCTTTTCACTCTTACAGAGAGTCATGTAGACATACCAAATCTCTGAAATTTTCTGTTTTGCTTGTAGTTGGATTGCCCACACCAGTAAATATAAAACAGTCCGAGCTCCTTGCCTCATTCACAGACCTGCCCCCAGCACCAGGAATAGGCCCTGGGACAAAGTCAGGACTCAGAATTTGTATGGTGAGTACATGCCTGCTAAACATTCATTATTTAAGAATTGTCTGGGAATATTTGGTCTGAATCCCCATCATCTCTCTTAGGAACTGAGAATTGTGTGGGTACACATGCCAATCACTTTTTGTCTCTTTTTATAGAATTGAGAAGATTTGGTGCTCAAGAGACAGAGCTTTCACCTATCTAATACTTTCATTTTATATATACACATACATTGTTAAGGTGTTTGGCTGAGATTGTAAAGTTAATTTGATTGTGGGAGGATATGTGCTGAATATGTAACATATACAGGTTTGGGGTGGGTGAGTAGCCCTTACCTTGGCTGTGAGGTTCTCTTGCACTTCCACACTGTAGCCAAGGCCCTCAAGCAGCCCCTTCATCCCTGTGATGTCAAGCTCAGCCCCTTCCCTCCTAGGAAGATGATGAAACTCTCTGTTGCATATGATGAGAGCCAGACGAGTGCGGTCCTTTCTCTCCTTTATTGAATAGATCTGCAGGAAGTGGGTATGCAGTGACTTTGATTTGCCTAAATCTCTTTTAAACTCTCATTCACTAATCACTGTTGCTTTGGCACAGGCTCATATAGCTGCCCTCTCCCTCTCCTGTACCAGAGACCTGCCATTTTCTATGTAATGAATTGAATTGACAATAGAGAGTGATTTAGAACCTTTACATTATTTAAAAAATAAAAGATATACACTGAAAAAAAATGAAAGTGATTCATTTTTTTCAAGAGCCCGAGACTGGACCCAGAACGTATTTGGGATAGTTACTCAGGAATCTTGAGGAGACTAGAACAATTTCTACCCTAACTTTCTCTTTTATCCTCTTCACCTAGACAAATCATTCTTACTCTTCAAGGTTCAGATCAAATTTCATGAAAACCAGGAAACATTTGCTATTGGCTCAGGCTTTGATTATATTTTTGAAACATGGTTCATGTCCAGGCTTTTCAAGTATTATGCAAATAATAACTACTCAGTCCTGCTATCTTATACTCATAAATATTTCTATTTTATGACTGTAACTTAACTATAGTAAATCCCAAATAAGTATGAGGGCAAAAGAGCATACTGAAAGATCCATATTTTATCATGGGACTGAAAGAAAATTGGAATTTGCATGAGGCTACACTATTTCCTCCTTGCTCAAAGCATCTAAGAAAGAGATTAGCGCTGTCTGCACCTCACCTCTCTGCCATTAGTGCTCTAAGAGATCGAGTATTCACGATTTGAAAGCAATTGTTTCTCTCTCTTTCTCTAGTTTGTCTACACAACACAGTACCTCTCCAGCCCTTTCTTTACATAGTTTCAGGAATGCTTCACGAGGACAAAGCTTGAGGGTATCTGTAGATTCTTCTGCTGCCTCAGCTGGTCCAGCCATGTCTGTAGGAACCAAAGGATATACCACATGACATCATATGACAGAAATTTTAACATCTGCATCTGTGAACCAAGTATCACTTAAGGATACTGACAAAGAAGGTAAATCCTGAGAAGTTTTTCAAAATATATTTATGTAAGAATTATCATTGTACTGACTAACCACTAGTATGAAGAGATATATTTTGAGTGGTAAAGAAGGGAGAAATCCTTGTTAGCAGATCCACCCAAAAATATAATGATGAATTCTGGTTATTATGAAGAAAACACCTTGATGATTTGGGTCAAATTTAGTCTTTTTTATGGCCATTAAGACAGTTTGATTTTAGCAACATTTTACTCTAGAAACTCATGAACCTAAGTGAACTTTTTCTTGTCAATGAGCAAAAGTATATATTGAGTAAATATTTATCAGAATGCTATCCATTACAAATATAATGTAATATCTCACAATTGATTTTCCATATTTTTGCTGCCATAAACTAATGGTGTTGACCACAAATTTGAAATCCTCTGAGTCTGATTCCATAGTTTCTGTTGAAGACAAGATTTCAAAACACAAAAATTGGTCTATTTCCTTGCTCTGATTGAGGAAGAGCCATAGGCTACACCACAAAATGTCCGGCTCAAAAAACAGGTGACTTGTCCTATGCTTCCCATCTAGACTACTGGACTGAATTCAGAAACAATAAATTCAAGAACATTTTTAGAGGAGGCTTTGTTATGGTGGTAGTATACATGCCAATAACTTTCTTTTAGAAAGATTTGTCCAATTATGTTTCTACTGATTCTTCCATTAGAGTCATTCAGGGCCACAAAGTATGGCATATTGTGTGGCCCTGAAAAAAAATTTGGCAAGTACATGGGGGAGAGATAAATCCATGACATCCCTGATTGAAGAGGCATCTTTTGACAACTGGTGAGGCTGTTTTCCAATGTTAGAGTTATCACAGTGGGTGCACAAGTGCCATTAGAATGCAATGACTAGGAATGGAAAGGAATATGGTAAGGAAGAAGAAACAAGTATTTTGAACCTTTACTGTTATTTATTATTGTCTTTCATTTGGGTGAGTGTTAAATGGAAAAGATGTACTAAAAGAAAAACAAGAAATGTACCATAGAGGAGTTTCCTATGTCATTAAAACAGGCATAGCCTTCTGTAGTCCCTAAGAAAAAAGGATTCTTGCTTTCAAAGAAAAAACTTCCCTTCTGATTTCACATGGGAAGCATAAGAGACCAGCTGCTGGGAGTTCATCTGAACATCTGTGTGTGCTGTGTGGAGGGACTAAGGGACTAAAGAAGGTGCCAGTCTATTGCCTGTATCAAGGTCTCAGGAGGATGGGAGGCAACAGGGGTGGGCCTTACACAGTGGTCCACAGCCTAGTTCCATGATAGTAGACATTGTTTCTCAAAAGAAAATGCAGGAGGGCAATTAGAAGAAAGGGTCTACTTTTAAAATCTTGACTTTTCTACAAGCATTGAATTTATTCTCTGAGTACTTCACCATCATTGAAATGTGTTTTATTCCTCCTGGAGAGCAAAATTTGGATGAGTAAGTACAAAAAGTATTTGATTACAGACCTTATGTCTTCATGTCAGATAACTATATAAATTTCTAAGAACCCCTAGACTTACCTAAATTATTAATAACTAATTGAATAAATAAATAAGCAATGCATCTTGCTAGGACTGGAACATATAGTCTAAAGTTTTACAGACTGCTCTCATGAACTTCAACAACTGAAATGCTACATAGTTAGGATGGTAAATGAGTTTCATCAAAAGAAGGCTATTGAGGCTAAAGCAGTAAGAACAAAGAGTAAAAGGACAGGGAACAAACAATAGTGCCATGGATTTAGAAATGGGGCCCTGAAGCCAGACATAAAGAAGTTGTCTGCAAACTAACAGGACCAATGAAGAAATCAGATATGGGTATAAATGTACAAGGCCTACATGAAATTTAGTCTGAGTTGTTGATCTTACCTGAGGAGAGCCCCAGCTTCTTTTCAAGGTGGGGGTCACATGCATTAATTTGAATGATAAATATTTGGCTTGCATGGTGTCCTTTCCGAATGACGGAGTCAATCAAATCTCGGGCCTTATCCATAGCTGTGTAATTTTCATATTTTACTGTCTCCATCTCCTCCTGATTCAGCACATTTTTGTCTAATAGTTCATCCAATAAGCTGTTTATTGTGCCGATACTCACTGATTGGATAAACACCTTCCTTTTTGACTTCAGGACCATGTCTGTTTGAAGCACAGAGATTCCTCAGGTCACTAAAACAACCTCATTCCCCTCTCATGTCAGCAAAAGAGGATAGGATCCTTTAGATTTCATCCATTAAATGTTCCCTGTCATTCAGTCACCCTGAGGATCACCACATCTCTTATTCTTCCCTCAGTATTACCAATGGTTTCACAGTATTACCATTCACTGAATGGCCTGAAGCCTGAGATTTACGATCACTAATTAATGCCTGAACACCAGGGATGATCCTGACATTTAGTCATGTTTATTCAACTCTGCATTTAAAATGATGAAACAGTGATAGGCCATTTCCCTTGGGGACCACAGCTACCTGTTTCTATCTTACTCGGTTGTGCACCATCTGTTGGATTATTCAGTTAGATTGCAAAATGACAGCAGAATACCAGTAACCCCAGTTCCTTTCTGGCTCATGCTTTTTCCTTCTGAAAGTTCTGATAGTCCTCTCCACCCCACTCTACTCCCTTTGCCTCCTTCCTCTTTCTTCCCTCTCCCTCATTGCTGCTTACTTAAACATTCACCAAACTTAATTATGACTTCCCAAAAAGCCAGCTATCTTTCAAAATTTTTCCTCAAGACATTTCCTTTTAGACAGTAAAAAAACAAAATAACAAAAAAAACAAAAACTCACCAGCCATGGCTTTCCTCTCTTGTTCTTGCGCTTAGAAAGTGAAAGTATGTTCAAACTTCCTTTTCATCATCCTGCGTGTACATATTAGGAAAGACCAACTAACTGCTCATGCAAATACTTGTCTGTGGTTTGTTTCTTCTTTCTCCATAGTAACAAACAGATTGCTTAACCTTGGAGTGCATCAGTGAGTATATTCTAGGGAAATTCCTTCATCAGCCCTTTGATAAGGTCAGGGTAGGAAGAGAGTAGAGCCTAGAGAATAAGAAGGAAGAAAGAAAACATGCAATTAAACTCAAACAATGATGAATCTTTCATTTCTTAGAAAGTGTAATCTGGAAAAGTAATTCATCCATCAGTGTCATAGTCCATTCATGGTACTATAAAAAAAAATCCACAGATTGGGTGTCTTACAAACAAAGGAATTTATTCTTCACAGTTCCGTAGTTTGGAAGCACTAGATCAGGATGCCAGTGTGGTAGGGTGGTGGTAAAAGCCCTTTTCTGGGTTGCAGACTGTTGACTTCTTACCATGTGCTTATAATAGCAGGAAGTTTGAGATATCTCACTGGAGTCTTTGGTATAAGGCCATGAATCCCTTTCATGAGGTTTCTGCTGTCATGATCAAGTCAATTCCCTAAAGTCCTAGCTCTTAATACTGTCGCCTAATAATGTCACCAATACTGGCATGAAGTTTTAAATTATGAATATTGGAAAAATGCATACATTTAATATATAACCTTTGAAGAATTTTAACCATTGTGACCCCTGCCCCCATCCTACCTGTCTGCTCTGTGTCCTAGGAATTACATGTTCCTGAGAAGCAGTTTTGCTATCACAAGTAGAGGAATTTTTCACCACAATAAAATATTTTTTTAAGATTTTATTTATTTTTAGAGAGAGGGGAAGGGAGGGAGAAAGAGAAGGAGAGAAACATCAATGTGTGGTTGCCTCTTGTGTGCCCACAACTGGGGACATGGCCTGCAACCCAGGCATGTGCACTGACTAGGTATTGAACCAGTGACCCTTTGGTTCAAAGGCCAGCACTCAGTCCACTGAGCCACACCAGCGAGGGCTCAAATATTTTCTTATTTAACACTCTTTTCAGATGATTTTGTGCTGTGAGATACTGTAGAGACTAACAGCTCAGGCTCTGGACTCAGAATGTCCAGTGTAGCAACTTAACCTTCCATTTCTGGGCAATGTATTGATCTTTCCCATTCTTTGGTTCCTCTATTTGTAAAATAATTTAATTAATAGTATATATCTACACATTTCTCAACACTAATTGAATAACTATGTGGAAACTGCCATAGAATATTATCTGGCACATCATAAGCCTACTATATTATTATTCATTAATACTATTATTTTCCATTTAAATATTTATAAATTAAAATTTAAATAACTGGACAGTGTGAGTTTTCTTGCAGATTATCTAGTTAAATTTATCTTTGGTGAGAATCCTCATGCATCTTATTCATTCATTCACTTATCAAATAGATATGAATGACCTACTTCATGTTAGACACGTTGTAGGTGCCAGGAGTTCAGTCAAACAAGCAGTGGTCTCTTGCCCTCAGCTTCGCGTTCAAGGACAGAAGACAAACAAGAAACCCCATATGTAACTGGGATAGTGTCAGAGTATGATAAGTGCTAACGAGAAGAAATTAATGAGAGAACTGGTTTATGAAATATTGGAAGATGTTAAATCTGAAGAAAGAGGAGCCCAGGAAGGTCTACAGAGGTAAGCACTTTTAGAGGTCACATGTTCAATTGCTAGTCCCCACAAAAAACTCAACATAACCAATTCATGTTATAGATATGGTTGATGGAAGATGGACTAATAACAAAATGTCTATTAGTCTTTCAAAGTTATCAATTTATTTACTAACAATGCCCATGGGGTTATCACCTTAGTTTCTTCTGAGAATAACAATCTGGATTTAACAAACATTAAAAGTGCATGTGTGTGGGGGCATACATGCAGGAAATATCTAAATTAAATATTGATAACTGTATTACATTTATTTTGAAACTCTATGCCATTAAAAAAATTGCATTTTAATATGTGGGCCATTAATTTTCCCTGTGTTCTAGGCCAAGTGTTAAATTTATTTCTAATTAGACTAGAATTCTTTGCATAGACTTTAATCTAAGGGTTTTCTCAGGGTATTTTTTTTACTTCACTACTTACCTGATCCAGTTTGTAACACAGTCCTGTGCTTCTTGCCACAGAGATACTTGGTGTAGGGAAGAAAACAGAGATTGCAGGTACATTGCTTTCTTTACACATTTATCTTTATTCATTTATTTCTGAAATGTTAAGGGCTTCACATGAGGGTTTCTCTATAAGCCAAGGTCACACACCACTGAACTGAAACAGGCTGAGGTGGCATTAGAGCCACAAAAGGATGGTTGGGCAGTATGCCTGGGGATGTGGAACCATGAGCACTGACCCTGGGAAGCTAAATAGGGAAACATTACATAGCAATGGCCCACTGTGTCCTCAAAAATGAAGATACTGAAAACTGAAAATATTCTAAATATCTACTATAGGTGCATGCATGAGTAAACAAATTGTGCTAAAAGCATACACAATGATACAATACAGTAATAAAACAGGGATGATTTACTAATATAACTAATACATGTAATAACTTGACAAAAACATTATGCTCGTATTATGAGTGAAAGAAGCCATATACAATAAAATACATACCTTATAATTCAAATTATTTAAAGTTCCAGATAGGAACAACTAATATATTTTGATATAAATCAGATCATGGTTTTCCTGAGGAGGAAATGGAGAGGAATTGAGGGCAAGGGCATAAAGGGGCATTCTGGGTGACAGAAATGTTCAACATCTTGATAATGTTATAATAGAGCATGCATTTTTACAAAATAATCAGATTGTATCCTTAAAAGGAATATATTTTATGCTATATAAATTATACTACAATAATGTTGAATTTCAAAAACTAAAATCAATGGTCATAATGATATACTGCATTGGAAATAGTTTGCTGTCTTTTATTTTTATGGACAACATACTCAAACATCAAAAAAATTGGTTGAAACTCCGCTAAGAGAAAGTTTTCTGTAGTGACTAAAACGGAATCACCCACAGTTGGATGTGGATATTTAGATGGAATGGAAATAAAAATTTAGAGATGTTGTTCATCAATTCAGATATGTACCAAGAAAATAGTATTACATAGATAGACTATCACATGGATAAAATCATATAATAACTTAATGGAACAGTTCAATTACAAGTAGTATTTAAAAGAAAGCACACTGATTTAAAAATCCTCATCTCAGAATTGCCTATGATAGCTTGTAAAAATATCATTTTTAATAATAGTAGGTAATATAAAAATCATGAATTTTTGTAGTGTTAATTAACCCTTATAATTCGAGATTCAGTTAAACCTCAGAAGTGAGAACACTTATTGTTTCAGTTTTTCACTGATTTGCAGAAAGTTCAGTACAGTGGTTAATAACTCAGATTCTAGAGCAAGTCAAATTGCATTCAAATCCTGGTGTGTTCTCCTATACACTGTGTGACTTTGGGCAAGTCATTAAAGCTCTCTATTCTTTTATTTTGTTGTGGGTAAAATGGAGATATTGATAGTAATTACTTTATAGTGTTGCTGTGAAAGTTAAATTAGTTGTTTGCATATAAAACCCTTAAAGTACTCAACATCCTTAAAATAACCTTGATATACATTTAATATCCATAAATATTGATGATTATGGCTATATTTGACACCCAGAGCATTCTCTTATTTTAATTCATTTGAGCTATATACTAAAATAATTATCCAGCATTCTGTGTGTATGTAACAGATGTGGTACATCTCCTTACTGAGAAGCTCTGATAGCCATGTTGCCAAAATTCCTCTACCAGCATCCACCCTCCCATAAATTTTAACATTCTCTCTTCCATTACTGATACTCCCCATTCTCTTTCAGTCCTTTATCTGATGATATTTCTATTTCCATATAAATACAATAAGGTTATACCATCTTGAACCAAAAGCCAAATTATTTTAGACAATTGCTCAAGGCTTGTGAAAGAGTAAACTTTTCCTGAAGTTTGGGAATAGGCACATATCTGGAAAGAACATAATCAACAAGAGAGTGTATTTATTTTGTAGAAAGAAAGGTACATGGGAATATGTATTTAATTTGCTAAAATTGAGTTTACTGAGGAAAATATTAGCTGAACCTATGATGTTGGTTAAGGAATGAGCTAGAAAACTGCTCTGTACCACTGTAGACCTTAGGGTTGATGAGTACACTGATGAGGAGCTGAGCATTTTGCAGTTCTGGTCTTCCATGTGGGCACCATCTCCTTTCACCCTGTTGCTGAGGGCAAGTCCTGGCAAGTCTTTTCACTCAGTGAAATGCAGATATTATATGAGTCATAAGCTAGAAAATCCAGTTAGCTTCCTCCACTTCATTTCCAGTCACCCACCATTTCAATTGAAATTTGGCGAGGGAAGTTGGAGATTGAGGGTCAAAAGAAATAAAGAACAAACTGATGGACACAGACTATGTCTATTACTGGAAATGGACATGGACATAGTGCGGGGGCTATGGGGGGAAAGAGAGTAGCTGAGTTGGAAGAGTGTATGAGGAAGTAAATGCGGTTGGACAGAGACTTGACTTGGAGTGGTGAGCACAGAATACAATGTATAGATGATGTGTTGTGGAATTGTGCACCTGAAACCTCTATAATTTTGTTAACCACAGTCATCCTAATAAATTCAGTAAAGAAGGAAATAAAGAACAAAGGAAACAAACAAAACAGAAACATACTCATGGATATAAGGAACAAACTGATTGTTCCCAGATGGAAGGGGAAATGGAGGGTTGGGTGAAAAATGTGAATAGGTTAAGAAGTACAAAGTGGTGGCAACAAAACAGTCATGGAATGTAATGTATAGCATAGGTATAGCACCTATCAGTATAGTCAGTATTACTGATAGAGCATGTATGATGTCACACAGGAGCAAGACTTACCGGGGGGAATCAGTTCACAAGTTATGTAAATATCTAACCATTATACTATACACTGAAACTAAAATATACACTGAATGTCCACTACAATTGAAAATATTTGTAAAAGAAACCAAAATCTAGAAAAAGAGACCAAAGATACAGTTTGTTTCATTTTTATTTAAATACAAAAGATTAAATATTTGTGCCATTCTGGAAAAGGTGCTACTTCTGGAAGTTAAAAATAGAGCTGGACCTCCTGTAATTTCCTGAAGAAGAAAAAAGAACAGAAGGTCAGTATAGTATTTGGTTGGCCCAAAGTTCATTTAGTTTTTTTTTTCCCATAAAACAAAAGACACATTTTTATTTTCACCAATAACTTTATTGATTTGGATATTTTGAGTATGTTGGCTGTCTGCCATCTCGTATAATATTGATTGCTCTCAATTAATGTCTCAATTTGATCACTAATAGCTTCATTGGTCTACTTGAGTGCAGAGCATTGTCCAGAGAGAAATCTCCAGCACACAAACCACTTTTGACACATCCGATCAGTCAGAGCACTTTCTCCATTCACTGCACAAATCATTTTTTGCATTTTTTATGTTTTTACTTTTCTTAAAATAGTAAAGAATACTATGTCAAAAATGTTGTTTATTTCCTTTCATAAATATTACAATAGCCACACAAGCATTCACCAATTTGGTAATTATTTTTTAAATTTTATTTATTTATTTATTTATTTATTTATTTATTTATTTATTATTCAAGAGTGAGAGGGAGGAAGAAAGAGATGGAGAGAAACATCAATGTGTGATTCCCTCCCATGAGCTCTAGACTGGGGACCTGTCCTGCAACCCAGGCAAGTGCCCCAGACTAAGAATCAAATCAGTGACCCCTGTGTTCTTAGGCCAGCACTCAATCCACTGAGTCACAACAGTCAGGGTTAATAAGTATTTTTTTAAACACATGCTGATATGACAGCTGTCACACATAATCTAACAAATTTGTTTCAAATGAAATTAAAAACAACTAAGTTACTAGAGCCAGCTGACAGGTGAAAAAAAAACCACTTTTTGGCCAGTCTAGTAATTCCCAGAAGCCTCAGTATATCCCTTATGATGATTCTTTTTCATCTTCTTCCATAGGTTTTTACCACGACCTTGGTATCAAACTCTACCCATTGCAGTATATTCATAAAAATTACTAAGGGTGATCTTTGGAAAACCTAAGTAGATTCTCATTCCTCTGGTCAAAAGGGTTTCCTTTCTCACCCAGTATAAAACTTTTAGAACATTTACCATGAGATTACCAAGGCCCATGTAGTTGAGCTTTTCACGATATTTCTGTTATTTTCTGTTAAATTTTTCTGTTATTTTCCCCACTCTTATTATCCTCCAGCCCATTGTCTTTTGGCAGAGCTTCAAAAATGTGAGCACATATCTGCCTCGGGGATTTTTTACATGCTAGTCCCTGCACTGAATCTGCATAGAATCACAGGGTACCCTACCTGACTCTTTCCACTCTTTGTTATGATTTGATTATTTTCCTACTCTAAGAAGCCTGTTCTAAATAATCTATTATAATACAAACAATACCCATCTCTTCAATCTTCTTTATTTTCCTTCTTAGATCTGATCACTCTCTGGCACATATCATTTTGTATATTTAGAATCTGTCTCTGCTCACTAAGTATGAGCTTTCAGAGAGCAAGAACTCCATTGTTTTTGTACACTGGTATATTCCAAGCCTTTAGAACTGAACTTGAAACCTAGTAAGTGCTTGATAAATATTAGTCAAATAGCTCAATCCCAAAATGTGGTTCTATTGTACTAATTAGGCAATAAAAGCTACTCTGATGAAGTATTTATGCAATTATTCAACCAGAGGCACAGAAACCAGGAATAAGAGATGGCGAAGAAAGATTTAAAGTATTGACATAAAATTTACTATACAACTGTAATTATGTGGCTGAGAGGGAAATTAATAATATACTTATTATACATATACTTATTATACAGTATGGTATGAAGCAGTTGCGAGTAAAATAATTGTTGGGTTTAAACTTGATGGGCCCATTTTAAATATTTTGACCAAAAAATGTGTCAGTGTTAACATGGAGGCTTACAGGGGTTTCTGACCAATAACTGAAAATCTGAGAGGAGACTCTAAATGTTCTGTGATGTACACAGTAAGAAAAGTCAGAGAACCAGAATCTGCATCAGCACAGACATTGCAGCCCAGGATATGTTTTATACCATCTGGTAACAGGAGCTCAATGTCAGTAATGTGGTAACTCAAAGTCAGCTCCTCTGTTTTTAACATTTTTCAGAATCTGAGGCAAATTTGGTACCTCAGTGTCTGTGAGTACCTGTGTTTGTCCATATGTGTGTCAGGGAGAAAGAGAGAGAGTGCTAGAGAGAGAGAGAAGAAGAAAAGGAAGTGTAACTAGTAATGGAAACATGATTACTGTATTGTTTTAGTAATTGCTACCCTGTGTCCTTCATTGTTTATTGCTTTTTGCCTTCATCAGGCTTATCTCCTTGATGGACTGACAGATTGACTAATTGATTGTGGAGATGGAGAAGGAAGCAGACAAGTTTATGTAAAACAATAAAAAATTCTAATTCCCTAACTATACAAACAAGTAACACCAATTTGTCAACACAAGCAATTGGCTATCTTTTGACATTGGACATCACTACCAATATTACTCTTTCACTTAATTCACCTGCCAACAACTGTAACAGTTACTATTTTCAGTTACCAGGACTGCCAACAACTCTGATATTTACTATTTTCAATTGCCAGGAAACAGGTAGAAATATCTTGTCATGGATAATCGTTCAATGGTGGGCATCTGGGCTTTAACATCTGGTTGTTCAAATGACCGTTGTACCTAAAAAGAAAAAGAGGCAATAGATGAAACATAACTCTTAGCCACTCTCAGAGAACATTTTGCACCATGAGCCAACAAATTCTGAGAATGAAAGGTGCTACTAGGGTTGATGGGAGCAAGACCACAGCCATTCTAATGTCCAGTCACTGCTGCCCTACATTTAGAAGTAAGTCCCCATGTTAGAAAACACTCTATCACAGAACAAATGCCTAATGTCTAATCCAAGGTTTCTCTATCCACATTTCTTCTCTATTTCTTTTCCATCTCTCTTCTACGTATTTGAACTGGATCTCAAATATCCTCTACCCTCAGCCTCCAAGACTAGATCGTCAATTCAATGAGGCACAAAACCCCAACTTTTTACCTTAAAATCTGAACACAACAACTTTCACATCACCACCACCATATTGAATTCTGAAGTTTTGTTTTTGTTTTTGCTTTTTTTTTTTTGCCATGGACTGATCTATGAGGTTGTATTTCTAATATTCTCTTAGCAATGTCCTTGAAATGACAGTGTCTAATTCCTATTCATCCAGCAGGACTCAACTTCTCGAGTTCCCATTCACAGAGACCCTAACTGACATTACAGTGTGATCTTCTCCATTCTAATAAAGGTGCATTCCTCTTTCCCACAGGACTGTACTGTTCTCTACAGTTTTGAGTTTAGGATAGAAACAGCCACACTTCCTCACATTCTTACTGTCTGTACATTTCTTGCTAAAGAAGAAGGCAGGGGGAGTATCTGTTCATTTACTCATGCCTTGTGTTGAAAAAATATCATTTCCTGTGCCAATATGGTGAGGTCTTGAGCAATTCCTACCTTCATGAGGTTTGCATTCAAGTGAGTAATTACAGGTGAAAAACAAAGTACATGTATACCAAGTGAGTGGTGGTCAGAACTGGGGAGGAAAACAAATTAGGAGGCGGGGGGAATAAGGCATATTCTGATCTGGGAAAGATATATAGTCTTCCTTTCTGGACTATTCCATCCAAAAAATGTCTTCTTTATTTTTTTTCAGTGCCCTACATTTTTTTTGTTATGGATTATATCACAGTCTATATTGACACAGTTTGTGTTGGCCTACTTATTAGTACACATCTCTCACAATAATGTAGGCCATCAGTAGCCTTATGACACAATGTCTCATCTAGCCCTGTGTCAGCAAGATCACGACAATTACACATAGAAACCGAAAACATACTTATTTAATAAATTAAGCAACAAAATTAATTGAAAATACTTTCCATTCTTTGCATTTTAAGAAAGTATACTCCATAACATATGAGCTTCTATTTTATATTATTTTGTTCTCTTTTCATTTGCTTCTATGGTGTATTAACATCTTCTTTTACTAAAATCATATTTTAAATCCCAGGTAACAGAAATAAGGGCACCCTTATACTTTCACTTCCCTGACAAAATCAGTCATTGTAACTTGAATTAAGAATAAGAATAATACTTCCTGAAAAAAACAAAAGTGACTAGAGGAGGGAAAAGAAGGTTACCTTCCGAAACACTTCCTCAAGGTGACAGCGCCAAGAATATTTCTGAAAGCATGTGATGAGTTGTGAAATAAAGAAGGAACCCTTTTTGATGTCTCTCCAGGATACATTATCTATAAAGAGAAGAAGTGGTAAGTCTTCGGCTGTGGCCTTGACTACTTTTTATATTACATTTTTTTGTTTTATGGGTATATCCTTTAAGCATAGCTTGGGAATTAACTTGACATGTTTAAGATAAAAACTGATATATCTACATTAATTCATTTATAACAAAGTGGGAAAAACTGGCAGAGATTAACTAAAGGGATAGCTGATCAGAATTGCATGGTGACTGCCTTATATTCTTGGAACTGACACTTACTTTGGGCCTCATCGTCATTCGTTTCATTTGAAAAGATTGAGATACAACTGGAATTACTGCTTTTTCAGTTGAAAGAATAGACACTCAAAGGGTTAAGGAATTTTCCCATGCTCATGCAGTAAACAATAAAAAATGGGCACCAGGCTCCAAGGGTGATTACAGAGTAAAAATCACACTGTCTGTCAGAGTATAATAATCAAGGTAAATGAACAAATCCAAAGGAAACTTTTAAGAGGAGGGAAACTTTAGGACATGGATTGTGGTGATGGTTTCATGGATGTGTACTTATATACAACTCGTTATGTTACATACATTAAGTATATATGTTTATTTTTGTATGTCAGTTAAACCTCCATGCAGTGGTTAAAAAAACACTCAAAACAGAAATTTTCAAATGAGAAACATTCCAGTGTAAGGCTTCTTAAGATGACTACCTAGAGGTCAAGGACTAAACCCTGATCCCCTTCTATTAGGCCTCATTAGCCCCCGAGTATCATTTTCTACCTCTTTTAAGGACATTCACGCCCCTCTGAGGCAGGCAATGACACACTCCAACTAGCATCAAATGGGAAATACGGAGAAAGAGCTAGAGTAGAAAACGGAATTGTTCATTTATTTTAAATGGCATATGTTCAACTGGATTACTTGTATTAGGTTGTTTGAATGATTGGTATGCCTCAGCTTATAAAGCACAGCACTTAAAATACAAGTATAATTCAAAAAAGAAGATATATAGAATCTTTGTTTCTATAAAATAATGAGTAAGTTATTTTGGCAACATTCAAAATGTGCCTTAGATCATTCCTGCATAGAGCCTATCAATATTCTAGAGTCATTCAGGGGTGGCCTCAGGCCCACAGATCCTTGTGTGCAACTGAAAGACACATACGTGGGGTTGAGGAGCAGAAAGCAATGAAGTCCTTCTCCACATGTGCTCTGTGAACCGCATCCTCCTCCAGGTCCTCATGTGGCTGTGAAGAGCTGTCTGCCAAGGCTGCTGGAGAGTCACTGACCCACAATACCCCACGATTTGCTGGAGAGACAACAACTCTGTAAACACTGTGTACCTTCCTCAGTTTGGCTGTCACAATTGCCCACCTCATTCTCTTTGAACATGTATTTTTTCCCTGGCCAGGCACCTCGGTTGCTTAGTGTCATCCCAATGGGACAAGGTTGCGGGTTCCATCCCAGTCAGAGCACATACAAGAAGAATCAACTAATGAATGCATAAATAAGTGCAAAAGAAATTCAGTCTCTCTCTCTCTCTCAAATGAACAAATTTTAAAAAGTGAATAACAATAAAGAAATGTTAATTCTCACCACTTTTATAATTGCACAGCAGACACATACACACACTAAACTCTTCCCCCCCACACACCCATAACTAGGCCTCTGTCTAATGTCTTTGAACAATGTGCCAGGTAGCAGTGAGAGCAGTGAGAGCATCGTGTGTGTAAAGAGTGACAGTAACATAAACCTGACAGAACCCATTTTCTAAGAAGAGCAAAGGAGTTAAAGCCTTATGTGCATAATTTCAGAGCATAGGTATTATTTTTAGCTAAATTATTTCTGTTTTTCTTTCCTAAACATGGCTCCAAAATCCAAGAGCTAACTGGAAGTCAGAAATAACGAAATAAAATTTTGAGAGCAATGCCTAGTACCCTCATTTCCCCACTCAGTTCCCTTTCAATATTGCATGAGGCAAAAAAGGGTGCTGCTATTACAGAATAGCTCCACTTTCAAATGAAATTCTTCTCAAGCCAGAGAATGTCAGAATGTTTGTAAACTATTTACAAGTAAAGCTGTTATTAAAATGATTTCACTCCAAGGGTTAAATATTTTTGTTCAACTTTGATTTAGGAATTCCAAAGATCTCCTTCATCACTTTCTTTGGATTAAACTAAATAGATTATTTCTCAGCTGAAAAGGTAACTTCTTATGATTCAAACCACTTAAGTGGAGTTTCCCAAGAATTCAGTTCACTTTGTTTGCCGTGAGCGGGGACTAAGATTGTTTCCCCTAAAATGAAAACATACATCACAGTCCTCAGCAAACAATTCAGGAACTTTGGACTTTCCCTATCAGAACTCACCACCTCTGCAGGCCTGGACAATGATGACCTTTGGTTTGTCCTTTAGGCTGAGGCAGTGGCAGTTGTTGAACATCCGAAAGATGGTGTCATAAGGCAGCACATCTGGTTCTTCATCTCTGTGCAGAGTCCCACAAATTCCTGCCAGGATGCCATGAGACATGAACACCAAGAATGTGCTGTCTGAGGACTTATGCTCTGGGCGGGCAGCAAATGACTCCAGCACTGACTCCATCTCCTGAAAAAGACCACTATGTCTTACTAGAAGAGGTCAAGCATTGACATTAATCTGATCTCCTACTTATCATGAGCAGTCCAAGAAACATCTATACTGCCCTGGCTGGTGTGGCTCAGTGGTTTGAGTGCCAGCCTGTGAAGCAAAGGGTCACTGGTTCAATTCCTAGTCAGGGCACATGCCTGGGTTGCAGACCAGGTCCCTAGTTGGGGGCATGTGAGTGGCAACCACGCATTGATGTTTCGCTCCCTCTTTCTCCATCCCCTCCTCAAAAACAAACAAAGGAACAAATACATAAATAAAGTATTTTTGAAAAAGAAGAGAAACCTCTTTATGTTCCTATCACTGTGCCTTCATATAGTGGTTACTCAATGGTAGTTGCTTACCTTTTCTTTCAACAGTGTAACAGGGGGTTCAACTGTTTGTTCCTGGTAATATTATTTGAGCTGTCCTCCTGATATATTTTACATTGCCTTATTTTCACTTACATACTTTTTTCTATTACTCTCATTTATCTCATTAATTAATAGGAGTCTTGGGTCACAAATTTATCATACCACTTTCCTTCAAACACCATTCTCTCTGTACTGAGAACAAAATCAAACTTCTGACTAATGTATACTTCTTCCAGTCTGTCCTGTTTCTCCTGCAAGCTCTTATCACTCTGGTCTTCTGTGTTTTTCATGTTCCTATTTTATATATAGCATCGGTATATCATATACAGTTATCCTTCCTGGAATGTATTTTATTCACAAATTTTCAGATCTGTCTTGTTACTGATAGTCTTCTGTCAGCTTTAGTATATTCTCCTACTAAGACTTATCTTTTCCATTGCATTGAAACAAGTAGTACATGATCACCAGTTTTCTCTTTTTTCCCCCACCAACTTTCATCTGTCTTTTCACTCTTACAGAGAGTCATGTAGACATACCAAATCTCTGAAATTTTCTGTTTTGCTTGTAGTTGGATTGCCCACACCAGTAAATATAAAACAGTCCGAGCTCCTTGCCTCATTCACAGACCTGCCCCCAGCACCAGGAATAGGCCCTGGGACAAAGTCAGGACTCAGAATTTGTATGGTGAGTACATGCCTGCTAAACATTCATTATTTAAGAATTGTCTGGGAATATTTGGTCTGAATCCCCATCATCTCTCTTAGGAACTGAGAATTGTGTGGGTACACATGCCAATCACTTTTTGTCTCTTTTTTATAGAATTGAGAAGATTTGGTGCTCAAGAGACAGAGCTTTCACCTATCTAATACTTTCATTTTATATATACACATACATTGTTAAGGTGTTTGGCTGAGATTGTAAAGTTAATTTGATTGTGGGAGGATATGTGCTGAATATGTAACATATACAGGTTTGGGGTGGGTGAGTAGCCCTTACCTTGGCTGTGAGGTTCTCTTGCACTTCCACACTGTAGCCAAGGCCCTCAAGCAGCCCCTTCATCCCTGTGATGTCAAGCTCAGCCCCTTCCCTCCTAGGAAGATGATGAAACTCTCTGTTGCATATGATGAGAGCCAGACGAGTGCGGTCCTTTCTCTCCTTTATTGAATAGATCTGCAGGAAGTGGGTATGCAGTGACTTTGATTTGCCTAAATCTCTTTTAAACTCTCATTCACTAATCACTGTTGCTTTGGCACAGGCTCATATAGCTGCCCTCTCCCCTCTCCTGTACCAGAGACCTGCCATTTTCTATGTAATGAATTGAATTGACAATAGAGAGTGATTTAGAACCTTTACATTATTTAAAAATAAAAGATATACACTGAAAAAATGAAAGTGATTCATTTTTTCAAGAGCCCGGGACTGGACCCAGAACGTATTTGGGATAGTTACTCAGGAATCTTGAGGAGACTAGAACAATTTCTACCCTAACTTTCTCTTTTATCCTCTTCACCTAGACAAATCATTCTTACTCTTCAAGGTTCAGATCAAATTTCATGAAAACCAGGAAACATTTGCTATTGGCTCAGGCTTTGATTATATTTTTGAAACATGGTTCATGTCCAGGCTTTTCAAGTATTATGCAAATAATAACTACTCAGTCCTGCTATCTTATACTCATAAATATTTCTATTTTATGACTGTAACTTAACTATAGTAAATCCCAAATAAGTATGAGGGCAAAAGAGCATACTGAAAGATCCATATTTTATCATGGGACTGAAAGAAAATTGGAATTTGCATGAGGCTACACTATTTCCTCCTTGCTCAAAGCATCTAAGAAAGAGATTAGCGCTGTCTGCACCTCACCTCTCTGCCATTAGTGCTCTAAGAGATCGAGTATTCACGATTTGAAAGCAATTGTTTCTCTCTCTTTCTCTAGTTTGTCTACACAACACAGTACCTCTCCAGCCCTTTCTTTACATAGTTTCAGGAATGCTTCACGAGGACAAAGCTTGAGGGTATCTGTAGATTCTTCTGCTGCCTCAGCTGGTCCAGCCATGTCTGTAGGAACCAAAGGATATACCACATGACATCATATGACAGAAATTTTAACATCTGCATCTGTGAACCAAGTATCACTTAAGGATACTGACAAAGAAGGTAAATCCTGAGAAGTTTTTCAAAATATATTTATGTAAGAATTATCATTGTACTGACTAACCACTAGTATGAAGAGATATATTTTGAGTGGTAAAGAAGGGAGAAATCCTTGTTAGCAGATCCACCCAAAATATAATGATGAATTCTGGTTATTATGAAGAAAACACCTTGATGATTTGGGTCAAATTTAGTCTTTTTTATGGTCATTAAGACAGTTTGATTTTAGCAACATTTTACTCTAGAAATCTCATGCACCTAAGTGAACTTTTTCTTGTCAATGAGCAAGAGTGTGTATTGAGTAAATATCAGATTCGTATCTGAAATACAGTTGAGTCACATATGCAATGAAACATTTTCTAATTTCACATTAAAAAGTAAAAATAAACAACTAAAATTAATTTCAACAACATTTTTTAACAATATATCCAAGCTACTATCATTTCAACATGTGTCACTACCCACAATTTAAGCACTACTAGTTATCGTATAGCTAGTAGCTATATATTGGATCATATGACATCCCACGCCTACTCCTAATTTACAGAGAATAGATACACACATACACACACTTAACATTTAATAGCATCCTGAATCCTGTACCATCCAGATATTATTTTTCCCTGCAACCTCAGCCTGAATCCTTAACTTTTCCACAGGAGTTGAGCTTCTTTGATTCTTTGCCAAGTTGTGAAGTTAGCTATCTCAAGGAGAAATTCTCTATGGCAACCAGAATGCTGATCCCACTGCCAGAGGGACAGCATTTTGGTCAGAGATTCTAATATACACTGTATGTCCTTGCCTCCAAAATGCTGAACTGCCAGTATTAAATTTTCAACCCATGTTTTAAAATGTGAAGTAATAACTCCTCCCAGTTGGAAAAGTTTTTTCTCTGATTCATCCTGGCCTAATCCTTAAGAGAAATGAAATATTTCCCAATACTCCTTGGCAGCATTTGACTGAGATTTTGCAAGAGACTGGGAAAGTCCAGAGCCCTCCCCTCTGTGAGGATGGAAGAATTAATAAACTAGAAGAGGTTTACTGTGATTTTGTTAACAAGATTTTTGTCCATGGTAGGAATAAACCTTGATGTTTAGTTATATGAACCAACCAAATTGATCTCTGATTTTATTTAATTTAAAGGAAAAAGGTAATATTATTCTGTATAAAAATTTCAGTTTTTATATTTTATATTACCTTTACTCATTTATTTTCATTATTTTTCATAATATTTTTGATAAATGTCTTTCTAAAATATATTTTAAAAACTTAAGCTCAAGAGATGCAGCAAATTGTAAGTCTTTAAGGAAACCAATCTTCCTGAACTTTTAAAAATAGATTAAACAGCGACACGTTCTCCATTCCCACTGCAGCAGAGTTTGCCAATGTAAAGACTCCCTGGTTCCTGAGACATGTCAGAGGATATGTCTCTCCTCAAACCTCCTCTTTTTCCCATTTATTTACAAGTTCAGTGAACTCTCTAACTTAAGAAATGTCATCTCCTAATGACTGTTATGTATCTATATATAGATGTAGTGTTTGCAGTTAAAATTGGGAATTAATATTTCTATGTTGCATCTAAAATTATATTTAGTAAGAAAACAATTCCTTACAACATATGCTATCATTACAACACATAAATATTATAGTGCAGCCTTCTATACAAAAGTTTATAGTAAATGGCAGTGCAGTAGAAAGAAATGGGAGAATTTGGGGTTTAGATAAAATGTTTAATATCTCAGTCTCTTCTGTTACCTAATGAAATACTCTGAAACCTCCTTCAATTAATGCAAAAAGGAAGAGATTGGCTCAAGATTAGATAAAGCTATCTCCTTTGGTGTGTCAAAAATTTACAGATATTTTGACATTCTCTAGCTTTGTATTTGAGTACTTATCTCTCTGATGAAATAACAGTACTTGACAGTACTTGGCACCATATACATTTACATAAAACATGGCAGGCCTTATGTCTACCTCCTGCCTACCACTGTCTCTGCTGATGCAGTGGTTTTCCTCAGTTTGGTGTAATGCTCATTGGGGAAACTAAAATTATTTTGAAGTTTCCATTTCTTCAGTTCTGATTCCCAATTGCAGATTTCTCATTTTTGAACGAAATCAAAATTGTCCCCATCCCATCCCAGATTAAAGAGAAAATAATAAACCTGAGAAAATAATAAGAAGGGCCAGTGTAAATATTAATGTGAATGCAGCTTAGCCACAGTCTTGGTCATCTAACACATGTCCGGCCTGCTGGTGGGAATTTCCCTTCTACCTAGCAAAGGGCTAATTAAAGAAGTTATATGTTCTAGTGAGTGCTATATAATGTATGTTGTTTTTTTAAATTTAGTATTATTAATAAATTCCAGTATTTGGGGTTGGGATTTCAGGTTAAAGTCTGTAGCATATAGTAGATTCTTTCACTGGCGAACTTGGACTTGCGGATATATAAGCTCTTAATAACATTCATAATTCAATGTAAGTCAAAAGTTTTGAAATATTTTAATATATTAGACACTGTTTAGGTGTTCCCCTGGTCATATTTCATAGCTTACAGAAATGAGTTAAGCACTAGAAAGTTCTAAATATTATAAGCCAAATAATAATTATGTAATTAATTAATTCATATTTTCCATCTATCTATTCATCTAATATTTATTATGTGCCTGCTTTGTGTCTGACACTCTTCTAAGAGCTATTATTCATAGGCAAAGAAAATAGTTGTACTCTGGATTAAGAAAATTGGTGGATTGGTGGATAGTTCTAATGAGATAGAAAGGGGATAGAAGTGGAATACATTTGATGGGGGGCATCAAGTGTGTCATTTCAGACATCTTCATTTTTGAAGCCAGGGTAGTATTTGAATGGAATGTTGAATATGCAGCTAGAGCTAACTACATCTGGAGCTTGGAGAGCGCAATAGATGAGAGCTAAAATCTTAGGAGTTGTCAGCATATTCCTACCAGTATGATCCTAGCCTTACAAACCCCACAGAGTTACTGAAATTTCCACATGTCAATGATGCTGAGACTGATACTTAAGGAGGTTAAGAAACTTGAAGGAAAGCACACAGTGTCCAAAATGTCTCTACAGTGAGCTATTACCATGAGTTAACTAAACACAAAGGTTAAGCTTCTTAGGTGATTGGAAATCAAATCCCTTCTCACAAAAGCCAAGTAGCCTGTAAAATGACAATGATAGGGTTAGTGAAAGTAATGTTTTAGTAATTTAAGGATGGGAGCATTGAAGACACTGGAGAGGCACTGGAGCTAAATACATTGATGGAAATTTGGGATATTTGTTGTAAATGACTAAATACTTACCTTTCGTTCCAATGGAGAGATTTTCTGGGTTAAGGAAGGTTCGGAGAAGGATTTGACCTGCTTCATCATGTTTTTGTCGCACAACGCCCGCTAGGACTGAGGCCTTGTCTCTAAGTTTGGCATCATAAATTTTTTTCTTTTCAGTTTCCTCCAATTTGAGAATGTTTGTTTTCACCAAGCCATCCAAAAACTCAGTTAAGATTTCTTTACCAATAGATTCCAAAGACTTAAGTGTGTTTTTGTTGTATCTGTCTTCTGTAAGAAACACAAAGATTCCTTCAACTGTGGGCAAAATATAAAGGGTGTTGCCCTAAATATAGGGCTCCCTGTAATGTGAGGTACTCCTGAAATACCTTCTGATTATTTCACTGTTTCATCAGCAAAGTACATACTATTTCATTATAGCCCTGGGATTGTCTCAGTGCATCAAATACATACTTTGTATTTGGGCTTTGTTTAATGACTTTTTGTCACTTAAGATTTTTCATACCTTCTCATCTCCTTTATGTGACATGGGGCCTAATGTCATCCACTTTCTTATATTTATCTTTCTATTTTTCTCCTTCTTATAGTGATGGCAATGGTCTACCTGAAATGTATGCTCCAAGAAAAGTCCATGTTCTTGACTATACTGCACACTTTTTCCACTCTATTAGTGATTATCTACTGATGTGCCTCAAGAATTTCTAAAACATGCAATACCTGACTATTTAGTCAGGGACACTGACCTCTTTTCCTTTAAAAGGTCAATGAAAAAAAATAATGATTGGTAGGGCAGAGGAGAGTGGTGGTGGTGGGGGAAATGGAGACAACTGTACTTGAACTACAATAGAAAATAAATAAATAAAATAAAGTAAAACATGACATCAGCCAATACAACAATCGCCATCCATGTGAAAGATTCAAATGTATGCCTATTTTTTGTCAGATTGGCAAAAAATATATATTTTGGGGTGTCTCACAGAATTGTAGTAATTGGTTTATGTGCGCCATGAGTGGAAAGACATTGACAATCATGGAGCTTGGCAATAGGTCCTACTCCTTCCCCTGTATTTAGTTTCCTTGGTGAAAATACTATGCTTTTGAATCCACATTTTTGTATTCAAAAACAGAATTATATGTATGTGAATACAAAATACATGAAAGATTTTACTCACATCTTTGTACTTAAAAACTTAAAAAATACATATAGGATTGCTGAATACATGAATTAATGAATAAGTGAATACGTGCATCCAGGGTCCTAACACTTTAAAATCTTGTCTCAATCAAAATTCAGAGTTGAAAATAATCTGAAGGCTAATTTTTCAACTGGTAGATTAATTTGATACCAGGTTAATTTATTACTGTCTAGGATAATTTGCATTTTTATAAAGGAATATAAGAGTCAAAGTATTAAATCTTTTTTTTAATACCACAAGTATGATTTGGACATATATATGGGAAGGCAGGATATCTCATCAATTCTCAATTAATTCTAAGGTAATTATCCAGTCCATCTAGATATAAGAATAGCCTTGGCACAGAATGACACTTCCTAAAGAAAATGTGCCAGGATATTGAACAAGAACTTGGGTCTAGAAACAACAGCCTCCTTTTCCATGTTATATCGAATAACTTTTTCAGTAAATGTTTATTGGGCAATGATTATAATAAAGAAACCAGGAAGTTATGAAACCTGAATTAAGAGTTACTTAAATCAATTAATAACAGCTAACATGTCTTGCTTGCTTATAATGATTAAAAAGGAAATACATAAAAAGTAATGCAAATCATCATCATTGTTATTATTATTTCCAATTTCTTTACTAAATACAAACATTAATGTGTTATATCCTCATAATAACCCAATGAGATTATTCCCCCCATTTTACAGATCATTTACCCCAAATCACACAAACTGAGAATTCACATTCTCTTCTTACACTTCAGTAATAATACTTAATATTGATCCCCTACCAATGTTAAATGCTATACATGAATCTTCTCACTTAAAATTTACCAAAACTCCATGTAACTGGTATATTAATAACTTTATTGTATTAAAAAGCAAACAGACACAGATAAGTTAGTTAAGTTATGACCCAAACCATATGTAGAGTACATTGCATATATAGTAAGTGGGGAAAAGGGATTCAAACTCAGGGGGTCAGATCCTCCCACTCTTAAGTCATCATAGTACATTACATGATACTTGGTAAGGAGTTACTTAAAATAACACAAAATGCTGCAGGGACTAGAAGTCTGGGTAAGTTTCTGCATATGAGGCCACAAAGGTTTCTTTTAAAAGGTAGTAGAGACACTAAGATGCAATATAGTAATCAGATGTTAGAACAGAGAGTTTGAAGAATTGCAACAGCATGCAGGATAGTGCATGGAACATTTAGTTTCCCTGAGTTCTGGGTTTCAGTTTCACTTCTCTGTGAAGTTTCACTTCTCCAGTTGAATCTCCGTGTTGAGTGCACTCAACAAGGTGGTATAGAGTGGACAGAACAAATGGCATGGGAAAAAATAAGGTGAACAGTAAAACCAAAGAGGTTTGGTCTTAGGTCTTCTTGTTATCTATATATTCTCATAGCTTCATTATGAATTACTCCCAAATTTATAGATTCATCCCAGATGTAGATACCAAAATCGAGACTCATATATTCATCTCTTCTCAGGGTGCCACAACCTTGTTAAACTCGCCTTTATAAAGTTGACCTGTTTGCTTTTTATTCACCTGTTTTGTCTCTTGTACTAATAAATGATATCTAAACACCAAGTACATCAGACCAATAAAACATGGTAATAGTGAATATCTACCACTTTCTGAATACGTTATGTTCAATCTCACATCAAATTGTATTGATTTTATGTGTTAAATATTTTTTGAATCTAACTGCTTCTCTGCATTCTAATTGTACATTATTCTATTTCAGGCCCACATTCTTCCTTTTTTAATTACTTCAAGAACCTTATAAAGCTATTTTTTCCCTTTCCTGATTCATTCTTTGCATGAAACATAGTGTTCTAAAAATCTAGATTTAATAATGAAATCTCTGGGCTAACTCTAATTTTTTTAAAGATTTTTTATTTATTTATTTTTAGAGAGGGGAAGGGAGGGAGAAAGAGAGAGAGAGAATCAATGTGTGGTTATCTCACGGCCCCCACTGGGGACCTGGCCTGCAACCCAGGCATGTGCCCTGACTGGGAATTGAACCTGCGGATGCTTTGGTTCGCAGCCCACGCTCAATGCACTGAGCTACGCCAGCCAGGGCTAGCTTACTCTAATTTAGATAGTCTTATTTATTCATTCTCATCCTCCATAATTCTACCCACCTCATTCATTACATTTGAAACCTTGTGCTCTTCTTTTAGTTTCTAGGAAGCCCTTACTTAAGGATCTCTATGTGGGCAGTCTCCTAACCCCACCCTTTTTCTTATTCCCCTACTGCTCTATTTATTCTTTATTTCTCAGGTTAGATGTGACTTCTTCCAGGGAATCCTACCTGATACTCCCAGACTAGACAAAGTATCAGAGGAATATGCTCCCAGTATACCTTGTTTCTCACTGGGCAAGCCATTTTTTCTTGTAGTTAATTATTTAATAATGTCTAATCAAACTCAGTCATTTATATGTGTTGGTCAATTTTACTTGTTTTCTTTTTATAGTGCCTTTCAGTTTCTCACATTTATTATCTAATTATGCCCTCATTGCAATCTAATAATCTGTGAGGCCAGCCTACCTGGTCAAAAATGCAGCCATGAGCGTGTACTTAATCTATTACTCTCCAGCCAAATGATGGATTAGTGTTGTGAAGAAAAGCAAAGAAAACAATCAATCCTTTATTTCAGGAATTTAAGTTAAATGTTGTGAGATGGGTCATAAAACCTGGAAATAATTATAACAGGGAAGGAAACAAAGAGAAAAGAAAAGAGCAAGGAAGTATGAGTAAGGGAAATACAAAAGTTATCATTTGTTTGTGAAGCTGAAGTCATCTTTTAGAGGGATTAATGGAAAAATGGATAAATATATTTAGAAAGGTAGGAAAACCTGTCTGAAAAGTTCAGAAATTTTAAAGCAGCAATAGGGAACGACTGTAGTTCCTGAGTAAAACCATTGCATGCATAGATACCTAGAATGTGAGAACTAAAAGATAGATAATTAATCATTTTTCCTAATGATTCTAATCTGGAAAAAAACTATGCCAGACCAGTTATATGAGAATTATCTGTAGATATGTTAAAGGTTATAAATGTCTATGGTCTATTCACAGTGCGTACCACTCACGAGTTTTCTTATGTTTCATGCGCCATCTGTTAAGGACCGCTCAAGAGTTTTCCCGTGTTTCACAGGCCTCAATTCACAAGCAAAAATGAAGTATAAACAGTTTCTGCTATCAGAAGAGTCTCACAAACAATGGGAAGACAAAGAAACAATTCCCAAATGAAAGGAAAGGAGGAAGCCTCAGAAAGAATTCTAAATGAAATAGAGGCAACTCAACTATCAGATACTGAGTTCAAAGCAATGATTGTCATGAAGCTCAATGAGCTCACAATGAGCTACCAGAAACTACAGGGAAGCTATAATGAGCTCACTACAAACTATATCAACATAACAAAGGAAATAGAAACTATCAACAAGGGTCAAGAGGAAATGGAGAACAGTTTCTGCTATCAGTGGTGAGAGACTGGATAACAGATGACAATAATGAAGGCTCTCCAGAACCAGAGACAAATCTGTGCAGCCCTTCTCCTGGGAGTACAAGGAGAGCACCTCGGAAAGATCCACCCAAAATGTTGTCAGGTGATATGAAGCAGCATGAACGTATGTATATTCCAGCGAGTGGAAAGAAAAATTTTCCTACGAGAGCCTGCAGACTTTGTTTGTGCTGCCCATGGAAAAAGGAGCGAATCTAGATACTTATGTAAATTTTGTTTGGTCCCTCTTCATAGAGGAAAATGTTTTATGCAGTACCATACGTTAAAAAAAGTAGTAGGAAATTTAATTGTTTAATTAGTTGTTTAATTGTTTTTGTAAATAAAAATGTTATAATTATTGAAAAACAACACCTAAAGTGCATTATGATCTGTAGTTATGATGATTTAAATAACGTGCAGTTTGCCCAAAAACGTGTGGTCCCCAGCGTATGTCTTAGAGATTTCTATGCGGTATGCAATGTGTTAAGAAACACAAGGTCAGTATAATTTGAATAAATTGAAATTTAAAATATGATTACAGATTATTCAGATTTGCTGATCTAGTTGAATCTCTTCCATTTCAGATCAGGAAAATGAAGCTAAGAATATATGACATGTTTGAATACTAGCTGCATAAATAGCTAATAATTCTATCTCTTTTGCTTTTTCAGCTTCTGAGTATAAGAAATATGACCCGAAAGTACACAGGATGGCCAGTAGTACAATATGACCAGTAGTACACAGGATGGATTGGGGGATTACATCCTGGTGAGAGCAAAACCAATTAAAAAACTGTGGTAACAATCCAGGAAAAAACTGCACTAGAGTCAGTAGCACCAGGACTAGAGAGACAGGAGAAAAAATAGTCACCTTAAAAGACCAAGTATGCAATTCAATATAGGCAATGGCAAAGAGGATAGAATAAAAGGCTCATTTACATGATTCTGGGAGCAGTGTTTATTACCTAAATGATTAATTCAAAATCAACAGGAAGTGAGATCTCAGAGTGCATTTAGAACTTTCAGAAATTGTCTCATACACAAATAACTTACTCTGTTTGTCTCTGCCCTCCCCTTCATTGCTATAAACTGAAAGGAAGGAATTAACTATCCCTGGGTCTAAAATATCTGGAAATCTTTCTTCCCTCCAGCCTCTCTAAGGCAATGTCCCCCAATGATTCAAATTACATAGAATTAATAGGGGGAAAGATTCAGCTTGCAAACCACACAAGTTCTTCCCTTTCATTATTTCTGTTTGCCCCAGAGCAATGAATAAAGTGTTTCCTAAAACCTAAGTCCCTGACCCTCAGTCAGAAAAGACCCCTACTCACCAGCCATAGATAACAGCCTCAGGCCCTTCCTGCTGCTGTAAGTGAGCCACAGCCTGAAAAATGAAAGCTACTGGGCATTTCTTTAGTGCAGGGGGCGGGGACATCTAATCACAGATTGTGCAACTGCTGCTTGGAACTTCAGGGTTCACGTCCATCTGGAATTCCCCAGTAGTCAACAAAGGTGTTTATTAGCCCTTTGGGGAGAAAAGTTTCCTCCTTTAGGAAGAAAGAAAATGTGAATGACAGAATATTTTTCTATGGACTACCAACTCTGACTGTTTTTTCCCTCCTTTTCCTTCTCTCACTTTATTTTCCCCCACATTTCCTTCTCCCTGTTCTTTTTCTGATCTCTCAGTATTGCTTCTAAAGGAGTTTAAACTAACAGGTCTCATTTCACTTTCAGATAAGAATTACCCAAATTAACTGTTTCCTGTTTCAACTCTTGTGGCTTTGTCCCCTCCCTGTTTCCCTTTGAGTTTTTATGGATAAATTCTTATTTATTTATTTATTTATTTTTAATTTTATTTTAATCATTGTTCAAGTACAGTTTTCTCCCACTTACTCCCATTCCAGCCTTAAAGAATCTTCATCTTCACTTCCCTCATGCATTTCTTTAACTGCCTGTCTTCCTTTACATTTAATTTTTACTGAAGCTGAATTCTGACTATGCTATTTTGATAGTCTCCAAACAGTGAGTGATAATAGAGGCAGTCATAGGTTGTAGTAGAACAAATGCATGGCAGTACAGAAATGATATGCCCAGAAGAATAATTAGTGGGGGGAAAAAAAGACTGTGATATCCACCTTTGAAAGTCTTCTAAAGGCCAGAAATTCACCTTTACCCCTAATGGGTTAGGATTAGAAAGGGCTCATAATTGCCAGTAAAAAGCTACTCCTTCAGTCTTTCCTAAATGTAACATTGCTGAATGGAGGATTTCACCCCAAATTCATTACCACTGCATTAACAAGAACATTACTTAGTATACAACACATCCTACTGCTTTTTCATAGAGTGACATGTACTGTGAGCTAATTGTTTCATGTTTGTTGACTTCTTGTCTTCTTAATAAGACTATAAACTATGAGTTCCCTGAGTTCGAATCAAAATTGCTTTTCATCTCTAAAATACCTTATGGAAAGGCAGACATATATAATTTCCAGCCAAGGCTTTGGTAGTAGTAAACTCCAGTTAAGTCACTTATCACACTCCACATTTCTCCTGCTGAGCTCCAAAATTCTCTGAAGATAAATATCTACTGTGAGATTTGCATCAGTATCCCTGAAACTGACAGCCCAGAAAATGGTTTCTAGAAAGAAAGAATGGTACTGTTAGGCAGTTCAGCTCTCATGGATCAGTTACTTGTTCCAAACCCACCCCCTATGGTCTCAGAATGGAAAAACACCCATAGCAACTCTTCTGGTTTTTTTTCTTTTTTATTTCAGATTTATTGGAATGTTTAAAGAAATATCTGTTTCCTGCTGAAATAATTCCCAAAACAGGAAGAGAATGACAGAACTCCTGGTTTCCTACAAGAAAAAGAAATTTAAAAAAAACATTAGAAACACAGTTCTACTAAAAATTACAAGTTTAAAAATCACTTCATTTATGAGGACATACACACTCATGAAAAGGAAGAAGCCATGCTGTGTCTAAATATTGCTCTGTTGAGTGAAAGGGAGCAACTAAAACCAAATTTTCATCATCTAATGGGCCACATCTCAATCTCTCTCAGCTGACCCTGAGAAAGGGCCATCTAGCTCTGCTGACTTTAAAGAAGAGCAATGTGCTCTGCACTGAACCAGCAGAGGCTTATTTTCAGTGGCTCACATTTATTTTAATAGAACTTGAGACCTGGGCCAGGATGAAGTTTTGGCCGTCCCCACAATACTATGACTTCCACCATACACTTCTGCCCTTTGACACTAATATAACTTACTTATATTAATGTCCTGGAAAGAGGTAGAAACATCTTGTCAAAGTCACTCTTTCTGTGGTGGGCATCTGTACCCTAACATCTGGTTGCTCAAATGAAAATCGAACCTATAGGAAGAAAGAGAGTGTATTTTTTTTTCAGGGTGGAAGAATCTTCAATTAAGCTGGAAAATTTACCAAAAGTATGGCAAAATAAAAAGTCTGTGCATCTGTAACAATCATAGTGATATGGATATCAAAGCATGGTACTGACGAGACCTTTTAAATTTGTTGCTGAATCTAATAGCTATTGACATAGACTAATTGGAGTCCATTTCTTTGTGTATTCAGACTGGGGGAGGGGTTAAAATAAATTGTTATTTTTAGAGGTTGATTTCTAGATCATAGTAGGTTGGATCTAGCTTTCAAGTTTGCTGACTCACCAAGGACCCTCAAAGTTCTTTTGGAAAGAAGTACATTTCTGGATGATAAACACAGCCAGAGCTGTCCCTAGGTTTCCAACTAGAATAGTAAAATATCCAGGGAAGTAGAGTATGAGAAATATCTAGAGCCTTACCTTTCGGAATATTTCCTCCAGGTCACAGGACCAAGCAAATTCTTGCAAATGTTCAATGAGTTTCATAATAAACAGTGAGCCCTTTTTGGGGTGTCTCCAAGAAACATTATCTGTAAATAAAGCACATCCCAAATCTCATGCAAAACTCTTGTCTGGACAGAAAGATAGAAGCTAGGATTTTAACTTCAGCTGAAGATGTTTGTTGTGGTCATGCTGTTTTCTATACACTGTATGCCATTATTTAGTGACTATGTTCAATGTTAGTGAATATATTTTTACTGATACTTGACAACTGTTATGTCATATGAAGAATGACACATATGTTACAAAAGCTAGGTTGGCATTGTATCTTATTTCAAGGACTAGCAAATTTGATAGAGAGAGAGGGAAAGGAAGAATGGGGTAGAGGGAAGTGATTGGGCCTTGGCAAAGAAATAACTGTGAGTGGATCTCATGAGTGCTGTTTACTAACTATGAACCAAGTTAATCATATACTCTAAATGCAAAGGCCTTGATTACAAAGGCTAGAGTAATAATTTCTGCCATAAAATATATTTAAAGCTTAGACGCAATGTATTATAAGTGTCTGGGAGAATATAAGATATGTTATATCTGGTCTATACAGGGTAATTATGTTAATAACTTTTTAAATATCTACATTGTAAATAATTTAATTGAAATCAAATAATAGTGGTCATAAGGTATTTGTACAAAGAAAATGTTAACTATGAAAATGTTAAATATGAAAATGGTACAAATATAAAAGAAGTTCAAGCCTAGAAAAAGTTTAAGAGAGAAAGATTCTACTATAGGACAAAAGTCTTATAAAAGAGAATACTGAAGAGTTATATTAACTAAATAAAGAGTAGAGACATAGAAATCATGAAGCCATTTTAAAATTGGACAAAGAAATATATGAAGTGGCATAACTAGCTATGCATATAACCCAAAACACAAGTGTTAATATCTTTTAGCCAATAACAATGGTACTAAAATATATAATGATAACAGTTTAAAATTCTATTTAAAACCACAGCTATTTTATGATGCTGGTTCCAGATAAAGGAAGGAGAGAGATGGTGGAGGCAAAAATCTTCTCAAGTTCTTTGTAAACTTAAGGAAGTAATGGTCATGTGTCTTCAGGAGAGCACTACAGTGCAGTAGGGGTTAACTCCAGAAAATGTGGAGCTAAGTTTACTAGTGGAAAATAATTAGCTGAAGATGATAGAATTGATGATCTGAGGGGCCATCTGCAGTGGAGGGGTGAGGAAAGTAAAAGGAAAGAAGAAAGAAATCAGGACAATAGAAGACAGTGGTATATAAAGGACTGTAGAGTTAGAGGTAAATCTTTGTAGAATGCTAGGGTCAAAGGATTTGAAAGAATAGTTTTGTCTAATGCTAAAGTCAGCTAAGTACACTCAAGCTGCAAATGTATGGGACTTTTTGCCTAGTGTCATTGTTTTTGATTTCTGCAAAAAAAGTTTTGATTTCTAGATTAGGACATCATCAGCACAGTGAAGAAACAGGCTATGCCCTGAGAGTAGGTACCTCATTAAAGGAAATAATTGAATCTGTAAATTAATCTATTTGAGCAGAGGCAAGGCCGTAAGGCCATAGGTAATCAAAGAAAAAATGTGAATGCCCCCAAAATTTCAAAACATAGTAGATAAAAGAATTGAAATGACTTTTATTTAAACCTTCAGCTATGGAGCAACTCAAGGTAAAAGCCTTGAGTTAAGTTACAAATGGATACATCTTTAATAATAGCAATTATTTAATGTGTGTTTTACTCTGTATCATCTTCAATATTTCACATATATTACCTTATTTAATTCTTAGAACAATGACATTTGTATTTACATATATCAGTGAGAAATTCAAAGAAAGCCCAGAGAGGAGAAATAACTAGAACTAGTTTATAAATACTAGAGGCAGGGTCAGAATATAATTGGCAGTACTCTTAATCAATAGCCTAGATTTAGAAATCATTAAGGTTTCTTCTTTTCATTCATTCTATACTTCTATTTAAAACCAATTTAATTTAAAGCCTCAAACTGCCTCATCTGCTTTTCTACCTCTCCCTTTCCCTGCAAAGTCTACTTTTCTGTAAATACATGAAATCTAGGCAAATTGAACTGCTGAATGAGCCCAACATTGTGAACTTTTTCCATGTGGAGTCAGATCCTAATTTATTCAGTGTAGATATTTCTCTATCCCTCACAGTTCCAGGAGACTAATTTTGCACCATGGGAGTTTACTAAGTACTAACTTAATAAAAATATATGCACATTTGATCAGAGTAATTAAAGGTTTAAACTGGGAGGACTGCTTGAGTTGTTCTTCAGAAGTTTCAAGTAAAGTTCGACAGATGCTCATTCTCTACTGAGTGTGTGTGGATTCCTGCATTAGTACTTCCCTCAGAGGTGCCCTACACAGGAACTCATTACCTGGTGTTGAAGAGCAGAAAGCAATGAAATCCTTCTCTACATGTGCTTTCTTAATGGCATCATACTTAAAATCTTCTGGAGCCTGTGAAGAGCTGTTTCCAAAATCTCCTACTGAATCTTTTAATAACACCACCCCTTCATTCTCTAGAAAGACAAGATATTGTTTCTTGTAACTTCCAACAGCCAAAAGAATTGCTTTCTCCCTTAAACTTCTCTTCAACCATATTTACTAATTTATTTGTCTCCATCTTTCATTTATATGCATATATACACATACATCCCATTAACTATCTTTTTAAGAACTCTTATTTCTAGTAATCCTTAAATAAATTCAAATGACAATTGAAATATCAAAGTCTTAAGGCTAAAAATATTCTATTTTAGTTTAAAATAGAATAAATATCTACTAAACATTCATACAACTCATAGCAGCTATAATTTTGTTTGGTGACAGTAGGTATTCTCTGACATTAAATAACAAACTCACACACACAAAAGAAAAAATAGTGGATATATATGAATGATGAAGTCAATACTTGTATATCTTGTGTTCAGTCAGACATCAGCACTCACCACCACGGCAGGCCTGGATGATGATCACCTTGGGTTTGTCCTTCAAACTTGGACAGTTCCTAGTGTTCAAAATTTGAAAGACAGTGTTGATGGATAATATGTCTGAAACTTCCTCAGAGTGTTTCTTTCCACAAATGCCTTCTCGAATACCATGAGACATGAACACCAAGAAAGTACTGTCAGCAGTCTTGTGTTCCTTGCGGGCAGCGAATGCCTTCAGCTCTGTAGTCATGTCCTAGAAGAGACCATATAATTGATTTTGGACAATGAGATTCATTATCATGGGACCCTGGGAATTCAATAAAGAGACATTTAAGAAATTCCTGGGTGATATAAAAATCAATGGGAACAAAAATTTTCAGTTTCAATTCAAAGAAAGGTGATGTAGCAGTGTAGCATGCCACTCAGGAATTTTTAGTAGACTGGAAAGGGTATTATTGTTTTAATAGAACAATTCCCAAATAAAAGTTCTATAAGACTCTTGCTAAAACCTCTATGTTAGAAGGAATTACTGTAGCATTAAGCACACTCCAAGTGAGATTTTAAATTTTAGGCTATCAAGAGGTTAAGATTCTAGTGCTTCAACCAGAACTTTCATGAAGGGGGTGCTCATTGCCCTGGCATTCAGGAAGAATTTACCAGAGAAGTGAGGTTTTTTTTCACATCCACGGTGTATCCCAGATCTTCTAGCAACTTCTCCATACCATTGATATCAACTTCAGCTCCAGCTCTTCTAGAAAGCTTCTCAAATTCTATGTTGCAGATAATGAGGGCAAGACGTGTGCGAGTGGCCTTTCCCATCATTGGGTAAATCTGTAGGAAATGCAGATTGCATAAACAGTCTTGTTCTCTTCAACTAAATATTTACCCTGATGATGTAAGACCATTTCTCTTTCCCTAGTTTTATCTAGAAACCAAATCTTAAGAATCATAGATTAAAAACTTGGGTTGGGGGGGCAAATGAATCTTACTATAGGAGTTAAAATAGAGTTTACAAATGTCCAGATGAGAACTGCTCGTTTAATTTAATTATTTTGAAAGCTAATATTGTGTGAGAAAACAGGCTTTGAAACAAGAATGGTAGAATTTAAAACTGACTCCTCAGCTTACTGCTTTTTCCAAATTATTTTATAATCCATGCCTCAGTTTCCTGATCTATAAAATGGGCTATTTTGAGTCTTTAAGGTATTACTATAGCCAACATTCCTTGGATAGTATCTGACTCATATTAAGAATTCAGTGGATGCCATTGTTGTTATTATTATAATGTTGTGCCTAGAGAGTTGTGTCAATCTTGGAAGTCCATACATAAGCCTGGGATTCTAAGAGATAGGAATCTTTTATGTAAGGGAAACAGCAGGATAATTTTTCCAGAATCTCTCAAGGAAACTGGTTGTAAGAAAGTGCCACTGCCCTTTACAGTGGTGTCCAGTGTTGTTGTTTTTTTTTTTTTCACCCAGATCCTTATGTTCTAGGTACAGCACCTCTCCTGACTTTTCTTTCCTTATTCTTTCTGCTATTTCTGCAGGACAAAGCTTGACACTCCCTCCTGGACCTCGGTTGCCTTGCACTGCCTCAGGAGCTGCAACAGACAAGAGATATTATGAATAATGACATCCCTGAGGGTCCAATCGCAGCAGCATCTGTGTATGAAGCTACAGGGGAGGCAATAAATCCTTAAAAGAAAAATGCTGGACAAGTTGTTAACACTGCTATAGGAACATATCTCAAACCAAAGGAGATTTCCAGTGGTAAGATACAAGGATCTACCTTTATCTCTTAGGATCATCCATTGTACAAATACTTTAAAATAAAAAATAAAATGGAAAATTTTCAAGGCCATGCATGAGAGATCCCTCAAAAAATAATACGTTAAATGAAATAGTTAAAATATAAAATTATTTCAACTGATTTAAGGTTGAGAATAAAATTTAATGGAGGAAGGAGTATTTCAAAATAAATCTGTTTACTATTTATTTATTTAGTTACTAGGTATGACAGTAGGCATTAGAGATGGAAGAAAAGAAAGGAGGAAGGAAGGAAGGAAGGAAGGAAGGAAGGAAGGAAGGAAGTGTGGTAGGGGAGAGAGGGTTAGAGAAAGAAGCAAGGAGAGAATGAAGGAAGGTAAGAAAGAAAAGGGAAGAAAGGGAGGGAAGGAAGGACAGAAGGAAAGAGTAAGATGATGTAGGAGAGAGAGGAAGACAGATGAAGAAAAGACAAAAGAAGAAAGAAAGAAAAAATGGAGGAAGAAAGGGTTTTTGTCTAGTTCTTCAGGCTTTCTCAACTGTATGTACATATGAGGAGGAGAATGAAGAATATTAAATGTATTAACTAGAATGAATATGAAATAGAATGCTAAATGCTAAAATCAAGATGCATACTAGATGGATTCATGACACTAAACATTGATTATGTAAATATATGAGGAAGAGCTTTCATAGTGTTCTATGTACTAAAGCTTTTAGGGTTTATTTTCATTACAAGTTTAACACCATCCAACAATGTGATGTACTTGCTAGAGAAGTAACATAAACTCTCTATCAAAATAAATATGTTTTTTCAATATTTGGGTGATCTGTCAGAAACTAAACTATTTACATAAGAAAGTTATATTCAATTTTGAGGGGAAATTTGAAGAAATGATAGTATATTTGTTTAGATAAACCCAGACATCATGAAATATGCTTACTGTGGGTAAAGTAAAAGAGAATTAGAATAAACATATTATACAAAAGTATAGATATCATTATTAGGAGAAAGAAACATTCTCTTTCATGATACACAAGTCCAGAGAACAAAGAAAAATAATAAAGAGAAACAGCTGGATTATATCAGAGTTATTTTCCTTGGTTAAGGAAAAGGCCTTTGTTTAAATAGGGGATGTCCTATCTACTGAAATACCTAAGAAAACATGCATGGGATAACCATCCTTAATAGACTTATTACAGAAATTTCTAAGTTTGATGACATATTTACTTGCTTGGCCTCAAAATTTTTCCAAATCTAAGGTCTTCTTACTTCAAGAGAAAAGAGTCACTTTCCAATGAAATAATTTGAGAATTGTGGGTGAACTACTTTTCCAGAACAAATAAAACAATGATTATTTAGTAAGAAAGAAGCTAGATTCATACAAAAATAATGTTTGCTAATAAGGAATCTAGCACATATTGACCTTGTCAAGACTCAATAAATCTGAGACCATTTTTTTCAGAGTAGAGTCCTGAGACATTTTTAAGGTCTTCCTTGTTATCTTGGTCCTGGGATTTCCTTGGGCCACCTTCAATACTGTGTGAAATGAAACATTTTGCATTTAAATGTTTGTGGCAGAGACTGGCTAGCTATTCAACAACATTCTGTCTTCTTCTTCCTGCACACACAGCTAGTCTGTGCTGCCAACCACCCTAGCAGTTCAGTTTGGCCATGTGACTGAGTTCAAGACAAGGAATGCAGGCAGGATGGTGTGACATATCCAGGCCAAGCCCAGCACAATCTCTCACCAATGATTTTCCATATTTCTTCCAATGCCATTATTTGATGGTTGAGACCAAGTTGTTTGGGCATTTTTACAGGCATCTGAGTTTGCACTCTGTGGAGAGATGTGTGCTGATGAAGTTCGCCTACTCACAAATGAGGCATAGGCTTCTATTAAATCCATGCCATAAATGGAGACAACTGTATTTGAACATTAATAAAAAAATAAAAATAAATTATCAAAAACATCTAACTAATTTGAAGAAAAGTGTTTGAATTGTTACATCATTCCATATCATCTTAACTGATACAGGTGTGTGTAGGGTTATATTCATCCTTAAATTCTTGGCTAACTTTAACTGGTGGTGGGGATTCTTAAATACTTAGTCATTCATAACTTGTATATAAAAACAGGAACCTCTTTGTCTTGCTAGTTACACTTGAAACAATCTATAGATCAAGGTCTGTGACACAGTGGCCATATGCTAAATATTGTTCTAATGGTGTAGCAAATAGTAGCAATATTGATGCAATTACTCAGTAAAATAGCATTTTAACAAATATTTATTTCATGCATACTATGAATCGATTACTGTTAGATGGGATCATTCTTATGAAGAAATCAAAGATGTCCAATTTTCTCATAAAGCTTAAAGCCTATTGAGAGACAATGATGGCTTCATTTTTTAAAACTCAAGAGAAAATATAATGAGAGTCATGACTAGGAGTCACAGGGGCCTGTGGAGTAGGGTCTCAGATCTATAATAATAAAATTAGAAGTGGATAGATGGATCTGGACTTGAGAGTGGAATCAATAAAATTTGGCCACTGCTTGCAGGGTGTGAGGGAAAAGAAAAAGCTAAAGAGCTAATTTAGGATTTTGGTTCAAATAACTTGGTGATGGTGACACCATTAACCAAAGGAGGAGCAATGTACAGGAAAGAATAAATGCAAATCCAGCTCTCGATATTTATAAACAATGGGGTCTGTTGGAGATGAGTGCATATGTTCAGCAGGCACTATAGTAGTGAAGTATGGCATTCAAATGGGTAGTCAGAACTTAAGACACAGATTCATAATTTGTTAGTATAATCGTGGTAGTGTAACTGCAAGAATGACTTCTGTGAAAGGTGAATAGGAAAAAGAAAAAAGGCATATGATTAATCCAGGAAAATTACCTATTGTATCCTAACTCTAGGTTTATCACACAAATCTGTGCTTAATATCAAGGAAGTCAAGCTTCAAAATGTTCTTGCTTTGAGCATATCATACCTGGAATGGGTGGTATCTCTGCTTGAGAGTCTTGTGTATTATGACAATTTTCTGATTGTGGACCTAAGAAAAGATAAACAACATTAAAATAGTCACTTAACATGTTTGAAGTATGTTGACCTAATGTTTTGGAAGCTGTCTGTTGAAAATAACTTCCACAACTTTTAATACTGTTCAAAATGTGATTTACCTAGAACCACACTGTTTACTGGGAAATAAAGCCTCACCACATGAATTACTGGACTTTAACATTTGAAGCAGAACAAAGGAGTATCTATAAGTGAATCCCTTGATTTCTGCTTTTTATGATGAGGTAGAGTTGAGATTCGATCAGCTACAGAATCAAGAATTCTCTTAATGTGCATGTTTCAAGGTGGCTTCTGAGGTGACCACTACTATGTAACAGGTATGTGAAAAGTGAGTTGTCTAACTCAGGTGACCTGGGCTTTGGAGAAAAGTAAGGTATCTAATCTTTGACAGTTAAAGTCACTGTAGATTTTTGTGTATGACAAGAGCATTAACCACATTTACTGTAATCTGCACTTGTCATACACAGTGTTACACTACACAAAAACACTAAAGAGCCTCAGTGTTTTTGCACTCTATTTGGTGCATTAAATCAATCAAACCTATAATGTACCATCTGAGGTCATGATTCATTATGATTGTCAATTTGAAGAATTAAATTTAAAGTTTTTAAGTTTATAGGGATCTCAATATAGCAATATATGCTGAAGAAGATTATTCCAGAAACTTTAAGAATCAGCAGAAGCTCACAAATGTGACATACTTTTTAGTCTGTATTACATAGTTCCTATTGAAGATAAGTTTCCTTAGACATAAGGTCTGTTTCCCTGCTCTGAAAGAGGGAGAGCCATAGCCTCCCACAAAATGTCAACCCCAAGTTAGCAGGCTGCAACTTGTCCCATCCTCGCATCTAGACTGCTGGACTAAATTGAGCATCAATAAATTCAAGAACATTTTCTGGTGGAGGCCTTGTTTTGACAGTAGTGTACATACTAAGAACTTTCTTTTAGAAAGATCTTTCCCATTAGAGTCATTCAAATAGGACATCTAATTACCATCTATCTTAGCAAGTCAAGGGAATCTATCGCTCCCTCATTGGAGAGACAAATTCATGATAGCACTGACTGAAGAGGTATCTTTTGACAAATGGAGAGGCTGAATCCAGGTGTTAGAGTTACACAGTGGGTGCACAAGTGCCTCTGGAATTCAAGGACTAGGAACTGAAAGGAATAGGACAAGGAAGAAAAACTGTTTTCTGAATCCTTATTGTTATTTATTGCTTTTAAACTGGGGGAAAGTGTTATTGAAAAAGTGGTAGTGAATGAAAAACAAGAAATTATCCAGAGTTAAACTTTTTCTATCAGTAGGAGAGGCATAGAGGCAAGTCCCTAGGAAAAATGGCTTCTAGCTTTCAAAGAACATTGTTCATCTGACTGGACCTATAAAAGAGACCAGTGGCTGAGAGTTCTCCTGAGATCCCAACTCTGCTGTGTGGAGGGACTTAGGGACTGTAGAAGGGGCAGGTCAGTTGCCTGAGTCCTGAATCAGGGCCTAAGCAAGATGGAAGGTAGATGGGTGGCTTTACACAGTGGTCCACAGCCTAGTTCTTTGGTAGTGGACAATGTTATTCAAAAGAAAATAGAGAGGACAATTAGAAAAAAGAGTCCACTTTTAAAATCCTAGCTTTTCTGTAAGTATTGGATTTATTCTCTGAGTGCTTAACCATCATTGAAATGTGTTTTATTCATCCTGAAGAGCAAAATTTGGAGAGAAATAATAAACTTTATTTGATTACACACCTAAGTCCCCATGTCAGATAACTCTATAAATTTATAAGGAGCCCTAGACTTAACTATGTAAGAAATTAACTAAATAAATAATGTGCCTTGCCAGGAGGACTGGAAGATATGGTATGAAGCTTCTACTGCTTATTAGGATGAAAAATTAGTTTTAATCCAAAGAAGGCTACTGAGGCTAAAGAATTAAAAAAAAAAAAGTAAAGAGATAGGGGATAAGATTTATAAGTGGGGCCCTGAAGCCAGACATAAAGTTGTCAGCAAACTAGCATGACCAGTGAAGAAATCAGATATGGGTACAAAGACACAAGCTGCATGAACTCCAGTCTGAGTTGTTCTTACCTGAGGCGAGCCCCAGCTTGCCAGCCAGTTGCAGGTCAACTTCAACAATCTGATTGATAAGTATTTGGCTTGCCTGGTGTCCTTTCCGAATGACTGAATCAAACAAATCTCGGGCCTTATCCATAGGTGTGTCATTCTCATTTCTTACTTTCTCCATCTCCTCCTGATTCAGCACTCTTTCCTCTAATAATCCATCCAACAAGCCATTTATCGTGCCAGTGGTCACTGAGTGGATAAACACCTTCCTCTTTGACTTCAGGAACCTGTCTATTTAAAGCACAAATATTCTTCAAGTCACTAAAACAACCTCAATTTCTTCTCATGTCAGCAGTAGGGAAGAGCCTTCTTTAGATTTAGCCCATTAAATGTCTCCTCCACACAGTTCAGTCATCCTGAGGATATTCACATCTCTCATTCTTCCCTCAGTGTTACCCAGGTATGCTCACTGAATGCCCTGAAGTCTTACATTTACTATGGCTGTTAGTGCCTGAAAACCAGCCTGATGGTAACTCATGCTTATTCAACTTTGCATAATATAAGAATGTGAGTGAAGGCTATTCCACTTGGGGACAATAGCTGCAGACACCTATCTTATGCATTGTGCATTGTGCTTCCCCATCACATAATTCTGCTAAGATTGCAAAATGACAGCAGAATACTAGTAAAGCCCAGTTCTTCTCTAACTCATGCTTTTTATTTCTGAAAGCTCTGAAAGTCTTCTGGGCCCCACTCAACTTCCCTTTGCCTCCCTCCTCTTTCTTCCCTCTCTCTCAGTTCTGCTCCCCCAAACATTCACAGAAGCTAATTATGGCTTCCCCAAAAGCCATCTGCTTTCAAAATTTTCCCCCAAGATGGGCCCTTTTAGACAGTAAAACAATCAAACTAACAAAAACTCACCTGCCATGGCCATGGCTTTTCTCTCTTGCCCTTGCAAATGTACGGTTTGAAACTGAAAGCTTGTTCCACCTTCCTGTTCAGCAGGGTGTGTACATATATTAGGAAGTACCAACTGCTCCTGCAAATGCATGCCTTTTTTTTTTCCCAAGTAGAAATCAGAGTGCTTAACCGTAGATTGTATCAGGGATTATATCCTTGAAAAATAACTCCACCAGCCCTTAGATCTAGAAATAAGACAGAAATAAGAAAGTATGTATACAATTAAATTCACACAATAATGAATCTCCCATTCATTAGATAATGTAATCTGGAAAAGTAACTCATCTGTCAGTGTCAGAGTCCATTCATGGTGCTATAAAACCACAGACAGGGTGGCTTATAAACAAGAGGAATCTATACCACACATTTCTGCAGCCTGAGGATAAGAGCAAGGTGCCAGCATGGTTAGGTGGTGGTTGGAAGGTCCTTTCCTGGGTTGCAGACTACTTAACTTTGCACCATGCCCTTATATAGCAGATAGAGTGTGGTATTTTTCTGGAGTGACCAGTATAAGGGCATGAAAACCTCTCATGAGGCTTCTGCCCTCATGACCAGTGTAACTTCCGAAAGCCCCAACTCTGAATACTGTCAGGTTGGACATTAAGTTTCAAAATATGAATATTGGGAAGCTACATACATTCAATCTACAGCATTTGAAGAAGTTGAACCATTGTGACCCCTGCCCACATCCTGCCTGTCTGTGCTGTGTCCTAGAAACTATGTGTTTCTGAGAAGCAGTTCTGCTATTAAGAATGAAAACATTTTTCACCAGAATCAAATATCTTCTTATCTAACACTCTTTATTTTCAGATAGTTCTGTTTTATCAAGAAATTAACTGCTCAGACTCTGGAGTCAGAACAACCTTCCATTCCTGGGCAAAGTATTGAACTGTCCCCTTCTTTTGTTCCTCTATTTGTAAAATAGTTTAATTAATAGCACATAGCTACATACCTCAGTATTAAGTGAATAAAAATGTGTAAACTGCATAAAACATTCTCTGGCACATTGTAAGCACATGATGTTATTATTTGTTAATACTATTATTTTTATTTTAATATTTATAAATTTACAATAAAATGACTAGGCAGGGTTAGTTTATTTGAAGATTATCTTGTTAAATTTATCTTTTGTGAGAATCCTCGTGCATCTCATTCATTCATTCATACAGCATACCTACATGAATGACCTACTCCATGTTAGATACATTGTAGGTGCCAGGGGTTCAGTCAAAGAGGCAGTGTTCCCTTGCCCTCATAGCTACACACATTCAAGGAGAGAAGACAAACAGTAAACCTCATATGTAAGTGGGATAATGTCAGAGCATGGTAAGTGCTAAGGAGAAGAAATTAATGAGAGAACTGGTATGAAATATTGGAAGACATTACATCTAAAGACAAAGGAGCCCAGGAAGGTCTACAGAGGTCACCACTTTTAGTAAGCACATGTTCAATTACTAATCCCCACAAAAAACTCAACATAGCCAATTTATTTTATAGATATGGTTGATGGAAGATGGACTAATAACAAAATGCCTATTAGTCTTTCAAAGTCATCAATTTATTTACTAAACATACTCATACTTAATTTCTTCTGAGAATAACAATCCAGAGTTACTAAAACATTCAATGTGTGTGCAAATGTGTGTGTGTGGGTATGCATATGCATAAATGCAGGATATACCTAAATTTTTTAAAAAGTTGTATTACTGTTATTTTAAAACTCTATACTATTAAAAACGAACTCGCATTTTGACATGTGGGCCACCAGTTTCTTCCTGTGTTCTAGGCTAAGTGTTAAATTTATTTTTAATTAAAATGAAATTCACCATGTAGATTTTTAAAAACTTATTTGTTGTATATTTTTAAGTTTATTTGATTTTTATCGAATTTATTGGGGTGACATTGGTTAACAAAATTACACAGTTTTCAGGTGCACCATTCTATAACACATCATCTGTACATTGTATTGTATGTTCATAACCCCAAGTCAAGCCTCCTTCCATAACCATTTATTGGCCCTGTGTCCTCCTGGACCTCCCTGCACTCCAACCCTCCACATGGCCATCACTGTACTCTCGTCCATGCCATGAGTTTCTTTTTTCTCTTTTTCCATCACCTTTCTTAGCCCCTTAACCTCCGTACCCCAGTAAACGTCAGCCTGCATTCTATCTTTGAAACTGTTTTGCTTGTTAATTCATTTGGCTCAATAGATTCCATATACAACTAAAATGATATGGTGCTTGTCTTTTTCCAACTGGCTTATTTCACTTAGCATAATGCTCTCCAGGTCCATCTACACGGTCCCAAATGGTAAGAGTTCCTTTTTTATGACCTAATGGTATTTCATCATGTAAATGTAGCACAGCTTTGTGTTTTTACATTTTTATTTTACTTTATTTAGAATGTTATTAAATAACAAATTAAAAAAGACCATGACAAGATGAGAGACTAAGAAAGAAAGAACTTGTCTACATAAGACACACTTTTGCTCTTTTTTGAACAAAAGACTAAAGGTTTTCATTTTGCACTGAACTCTGCAAATTATGTAGCTAGCTCTGGCTCAGATGACTTTTTCCCACTAAACTTTTTTTGGTTCTTACCACTTCCCATTCAAAATTAATTGTTCCTTGCCTTTCACTTCTCATTATTTATTTTCATTTTTCATTGTTGTTTAAGTACAGTTGTTCCCATTTTCCCCTTCTTACTCTCCCCTGTTCTACCCACCTCTAATTCCCAAATTCCGTACTCCCCCCATTGTCTTTGCCCATGGATCCTTTATACATGTTCCTTCATGACCCTTCCCTATCTTTACCCCATTATCCCCCTTCCAACCCCCCTGGTTACTGTCAGTTTGTTCTTTACTAACATGTTTATTCTTATATTTTGCTCACTTTTTGGTTTTGTTGTTTAGCTTACACTTATAGGTGAGATCATATGGTATTTGTCTTTCATCACCTGGCTTATTTCACTTAGCATAATTCTCTCCAGTTCCATCCATGCTGTCATAAAGGGAAGGAGTTCCTTCTTCCTTTCTGCTGGATAGTATTCCATTGTGTAAATGTACCACAGTTGTTTGATCCACTCATTTACTGATGGTCATTTAGGTTGCTTCCAATACTTGGCTATTGTAAATTGTGCTGCTATGAACATTGAAGTGCATAGTTTCTTTTGATTTGGTGTTTCAGGATTCTTTGGGTATAATCCCAGCAGTGGAATTGCCAGAAGAAAAGGCAGTTCCATTCTTAGTTTTCTGAGGAAATTCCATACTGTTTTCCACAGTGGCTGCACCAGTCTGCATTCCCACCAACAGTACACTAGGGTTCCCTTTACTTCACAGCCTTGTCTGCACTTGTTGTTTGTTGATTTGTTTATGATGGACAAGACACCCTGACAGGTATGAAGTGGTATCTCACTGTGGTTTTAATTTTCATCTCTCTGATGGCTAGTGATACTGATCATCCTTCATGTGTTTCTGGGCCTTCTATATATCCTCCTTGGAGAAGTGTCTGTTCAGGTGCTTTGCTCAATTTTAATTGGATTGTTTGTCTTTCTGATGTGGTGTCATATGAGTTCTTTATATATTTTAGGGATCAAACCCTTGTCCAAGGTATCATTGGCAAATACATTTTCCATATGTTGGTTCCCTTTTCATATTACTAATATTTTCTTTAGCCATGCAGAAGCTTTGTATTTTGATGTAGTCCCATTTGTTTATTCTTTCCTTTGTGTCCCTTGCTCTAGGGAACATATCGTTAAAAACATTGTTGTGTGGAATATCTAAAATTCTGTGGCCTATGTTCTCCTTTAGGATTTTTATGGTGTTGGGATATCTATTTAAGCCTTTTATCTATCTTGAGTTTATTTTTCTGTATGGTATAAGTTGGTAGTCAAGTTTTTTTTCTTTTCTTTCCTTTTTTTTATTTCATATAGCTGTCTAGATCTCCTAACACCATTTGTTGAAGAGGTGTTTTTATTACATTTTATGTTCCTGCCCCCTTGGTCGAATATAATTGATCATAAAGACATAGGTTTACTTCTGGGCTCTCAATTCTGTTCCACTGATCTATGTATCTGTTCTTATAACAGTACCAGACTCTTTTGATTACAATGGCCTTCTAATATAGTTTTATATAAGGTATTGTGATCCCTCCTACTTTGTTCTTCTTTCTTAAGATTGCTGAGGCTATTCAGGGTGATTTATGGTTCCATATAAACTTTTGAAATATTTGTTCTGCATCTGTGAATTGTGTCATTGGTATTTTAATAAGGATTTCATTGAATCTATATATTTCTTTGGATAATATGGACATTTTGATGATTTTAATTCTTCCAATCCATGACACGGTATCTGCTTCCATTTTTTGTGTGTCTTCAGTGTTGTGTAGTTTTCGGAGTACAGGTCTTTTACCTCCTTTGTTAGGTTTATTCCTAGGTACTTTATTTTTCTTGTTGTTATAGCAAATAAGATATTTTTCCTGGTATCTGTTTCTGATATGTTGTTTTAGTGTCCAAATGCCCTCAATTTCTGAATATTGCCTTTGTATACCACTGTTTTGACAAATTCACTTATTAGGTCTAATAGTTTCTTAGTGAAGTCTATAGGGTTTTCTATGTACACTATCATGTCATCTGCAAATAATGACAGTTTTACTTCCTTCTTTACAATTTGGTGTCTTTTATTTCTTTTCTTATCTGATCACTGTGGCTAAAACTTCCAATACTATGTTGAATAAAACTGAAAGCAGGCATCATTGTCTTGTTCTTGATCTTATTGGGAAAGTTTTAGATTTTGCCCATTGAGTATGATGTTGGCTGTAGGTTTCTCGTATGTGGCTTTCATTATGTTGAGGGTGTTCTCTCTACTCCCACTTTGCTGAGTGTTTTTAACATAAATGGTTGCTGTACTTTATCAAATGTTTTTCCACATCTATTGTTATGATCATGTGATTTTTGTCTTTTCTTTATGTGATATATTACATTTATGCATTTGTGAATATTGTACCATCCTTGCATCCCTGGGATGAATCCCATTTGGTAACAGTGTATGACTGTTTAATGTGTTGCTGGATGCAGTTTGCCAATATTTTGTTGAAGATTTTAAAATCTATGTTAATCAGCAATATTGGCCTGTAGTTTTGTTTCT